ATGAAATTCCGATCCGAACAAAGTCCCGAATTGCATCCTAACACGAATGGAGAAACTGTTACCGACGCAATTCGGTAGTTTCGCTGGAGTGCTGTCTAAATGACAGGACGTTCAGGAAAAGTGAAAGGAAGCATCGCGGGAACACAGAGGAAAGGTAAGAATTGTGGGAAAATTTATCTGACCACCGGAAATGAAGCACATTTTGCTACTCCGCTGGTCAGAGATTGTCAAGCGTAGGAAACCTCCATAAGACAAGTAGTCCCTACTTTGTCCTATGTTTTAAAGAAAACTAGAGCAGACAAGAAGAAATGAAGAACAGATCCTGAGAGAAGTAAGGAATCGATTTAAAGATAGGTAAGTTTGGCATGACATTGCCGCTTTAAGCAATGGAGGGGAGACCTATCCCTTGTGGTATAGTAGAAAGAGCTTCTGATATGTGCACTCTGTGGCTAGTGCTGACTTTGTGTAATGACTTGCCCTAAGCTCTCTGAAACCCCTTCCACCTACAGCTCTATGCTTATCTCCCTGCCTAGTTTATTCTGTAAAATTTGGTAGGTTCCAGACGAAAACCTGAAGCCGAAGAGCAGACTGGGCAGGGAAATGTGGGCTAATTAACTCTGTTCACACTCCCCACAAACACAGCTGGTTTTAAGTATTTTGGGTAAAGATAGTGCCTCTGATTTTGCCATATCTGGTATAAAATGTGGGGGGGGAAACTGGGAGGGGCAACTTTTTTTTTTTTTTATGATTGTATGAGTAATTATTTGGTAATTTTTAGTGTGGCTAAAACCTTGGGAGCCAAAACTGTGGGAGCCCAGACTCTGAAAATAGCTCAGGAGCATCCAGTCTTTTCTGAGGTTATTACAGACCAGGAAGCTGTGTTGGCTATTGAGAAATTTGTTGGTGAGTATTTGTAGAATATTGCATATTCTATCCACACATTCACATTAGATATGGCTATTAATATAATATCCATTTAATTCAGCTAGTAAATCCTTTTCCGTGATTAGATGTAAATTGTGCTAGCACAGTGTATAGATTAAAATAGTATCTACCATGACAGATACAGTTTGAGGGGTAACTACAACTGTGTCTATATGCCCTGTTTATTTTACTGTTCAGATTTTTATTTTTTATTTTTTTTATTCTGGGAAGGAGAAGTTATTGCTCCAATTATTTTCCAAAGCACACTGTAAAAAATGTTAAAACGACAAACAATTTTTTACATTATTGATTAAAACCAACCAAAAATATATAAATAAAAAATAAACTGGTGCAAAGAACACACCGTACAACGTGGCAAGCAGTAACATTTAAAAAAAATAAAATAAAGTAATATTTCATAAAACTGCATGGCGTACAAAGCGTGGAGGGCTGTCTGTGCATTTGTTTTGCCTAGAGTAACACTTAAATCATATATCATATTCCTCTTTCTCTCTAGATGATGAGAAAATGCTTGTGGAACCTGCCTGTGGTGCTGCTCTGGCTGCTGTTTACAGTAATGTGGTTGGGAAGCTACAGAAAGAAGGCAAGCTGAGTAACGACCTCTCCTCTCTGGTTATCATTGTGTGCGGTGGGAACAACATTACTCTGGCACAGCTCTATCTATTAAAAGAACAGCTAGGCATTCCCTCTATCAAAGCTGCTTAACAGCAACATACCCAACAACTTGGACTCCCTAGAACACAAACAGAGCAGTGTTCTTCAAAACTGTCCTCAGGACCCAGGACTGCTGCATATTAGCATTCTTTGGCTGCTCGGTCCATCTGCACTGGACTGGCTTGTGGCCACCAGTTTACTGTCAAACAGTTATTCTCATAAGCACATCCTGGTCTGATATTTGCTTGCATCAAGACCTGCAGCTCTTCCTGGATGAAATTTAAATATGTAAAGTGGCGGTCTTAGATTTTTTTTATTACCAGAATATTGTAGTTTTTTTTAAAGTTAATAGTTAATAGTGAAAAACGATTTTAGTACAGACAATGCTACGTCTTGCCACAATATTGTAACGGAGGAGGACAAGTTAATTTTATTTCAATTTAATCATGGACCATGACTTCCAGGGGAGTTGGGGCTCCCCTGGTTTTACAATCTTCAATTCCTGTAGGCAATGCATCATATTCCCTATGGGTTTACTCACTGCTGGCATTTTTGAGAATGTGTAAGCATTCTTATTGTGTATGTGAGTAATGTAAAAAACAGACTACCGCGTAATATAAAATGTTGCAGCCCTGCAGTGTTCCCATAGCTCTCCAGCTGCCAGGTTACTGCAGTGTAGCACTGTACATTTGTAACGTCTGAGCCCTGTGCGGTGTGTCTTTGATGGGAGGTGGGCAGCATTTCTAAGGGATGATGGAATGTCATGAAGCAGAAACGTGTTTATCAGGCCGTGGAGCAGGTGGGGCTTAGATTTTATTTTGCTTTCTAATGAATTATGAAATCTGCCTAATGCACACGTGTCTGTAACGGAGAGGATAAATGGGGATATCTACATAATATTTAAGGAAAAATGCTGACCAACCACTGAGTGGCATTATATTATAAAGTAATACTTTTTAATAAGTAGGACATTTACAAAGAAGTAGGAAGCTTTACAGAAACAGGAGATGATTAAGAATAACATATGTAGTGGCATATAAACACTATCCACTTTTGTTTTACACAATGTTTTTTGTAAGTGGCTGTCTAACCTATCAGTTCCATAATCCTGTGTCACATGGCTACAACCTCAAGTTTATGTAGTGAAAGATGTTCCAAAATCAGTCACAGGCTGGGAATTATTTGATAAGGAGGATGTTACAATTTGTATATTTATTTATAAATGGATTTTATTCAATAGCACAATTAAAACATGACGTTTAATAATACCATTATATTACCTCAGTTTTGCATTGGAAATACCACTGTTCAATTTACAATGAATACCACTGGTTATCAGAAAGGTTACCAATACCAAATATGAACATTGACATATGGAATATGTGAGATGTTTGTTTATACAAGTGATGTAAGAACATTTTATATTAAAAACCTTTTTATCATGCATGTTGTGTTCTTCATAAATATAAGGTATGTTGCTTGAATTGAGGTAAGCCTATCTGTTCACCTATTGAGCACCTGCAGTTCTAATAGGGATACAAACATTCTTTTATTGGCCGGTGTGTAGCCATCAAAAAAATGAGAGAGAGAGAGAGAGATTGATTTAGGAGTCTGGAGTTTCTCTTTAATGCCCTTAGTGACCAGACCGTTTTTAAATTTTCTTACCGTTAAGGACCAGGGCTATTTTTACATTTATGCGGTGTTTGTTTTTAGCTGTAATTTTCCCATTACTCACTTACTGTACCCACACATTAGTTACATTATATGATCATACCTGTTAAAGATGGGGTACATTGACGTTGTGGCAGGCTTATGCAATGTATGATCATATAATGTAACTAAACCCCCATTTTGCCTAGATTATGTTTTTAAAAAAACGAATAAAATCTGTCAACATTGAAGTTGCTGTTTAGTGGATAAGTTAGTCAGCTGGATCTTGTGTATTGTATAAATTGGCCCCCAGCAGCACCCCATTTATGCATGTTCAGGTGAGTGCAGCCCTCTGGTTTTATTTATATATATATATATATATATATATATATATTACACACACACACACACACACACATGCAGGGCCAGATTAAGAGCCCAGTTGGCCTGGTGCTGACAATTATGACGGGCCTAATTACAGAGTCATATAGACCAAAAACAGTAAAACACTCCCAAGCATCATGTATCTGATGGAGATGGTGCTGGAGAGAAAGAAAACACATACCCTAGGCCAATCTCTCTCTCATTTATGTTTTCATCTTTCAAGTAAATCCATAACCCCTAACAGCAGTGTCCAGTCAAGCAGGAAGCCAATGGGCATGGTAAAAGGGTGTGCCACTGACACAAATTACGTAACCTGCCAAAAGGGGTGAACATGCCCAAAAAGAGGACATGTCTGCTCAAAGAATTAGAAGGCCAGCCTGGCATGAATGCATGTCAGGCTGCCTGCCAATCATGCAGCTGGCCAACTAAGGGCATACTATGCAGACAGCACCCTGAGCTTGGCATAAATGCATCTAATGATGCGCTCACTCAACGCTTTCTAAGGACTGTCCCCTAGCACTCGCTGGTCCACTTGTCTCCTAACCTTCTTACTAGCAAGCAGAAGCTCCTGGTATATGGTCTGGGACAGAGAAAAGCTGTATGTAGTGAGTGTAGAAGAAAGGGAACATGCCACAGTGTTAGAGAGACCAAAGTCAGCATTACCTTAAAGGATCACTATAGGGTCAGGAACACAAACATGAATTCATAACCCTATAGTGTTAACACCACCATCTAGCTCCCCTGAGCCCCTCATGCCTCCATAAATATAGCAAAATCCTACTATATTCAAGCCTGAAGCTGTAACTCTGCATGCTGTTAGACTCATAAAAACAAGCAGTCTGCTGACATCATTAGAAGTGGTGGCCTGATCCAATCACAGTGCTTTCCCATAGGATTGGCTAAGACTGACAAAGAGGCAGATCAGGGTCAGAGCCAGCATGATTCAAACACGGCCCTGGCCAATCAGCATCTCCTCATATAGATGAATTTAATTAATGAATCTCTATGAGGAAAGTTCAGTGTCTGCATGCAGAAGGAGGAGACACTGAATGTTTGGATGCATTTTAGGCAGCCATGACCCAGGAAGGATCTCTAACAGTCATCTAAGGAGTGGCCAGTGAAGTTATCACTAGGATGTAATGTAAACACAGCATTTTCTCTGAAAAGACCGTGCTTACAGCAAAAAGCCTGATGGTAATGATTTTACTCACCAGAACAAATTCAATAAGCTGTAGTTGTTCTGGTGACTATAGTGTCCCTTTAACTATATTCATGGTCAGCCACTCCACACAAGTTTTGTTCCCATACATCGCTCTTAAGTTTCCATACTTAAGTAAGAGTATGTGAAAAGTAGTTAGGGTTGCCACCTTTCTTGGAAAAACATACCGGCCTTACTAATGTGCATAATTAAATATGTGTGGGTGACATCACATGATGTAAATCACAAGGAGTGACATTAGAGAAAATGCTGTAAAATCACCAAAAAACTACTTAGTTTAAATCTGCTGTATAGATAGATTCCTCCCAGTGCCCCCATGACTCAGTGGCCCCATGTGTCGATTACTCCAGGTCTCAGTGTTCCTATGTATCAGTGTCTCAGTGCCCCATGTCTTCCAGTGTCCCCTAGTGTCGTATCCCCAGGTCTCCCAGTGATCCTATGTATCAATGCCCCATGTCTCCCTGTATCCCCGTGTATCCCAGGGTCCCCATGTCACTAGGACACTAGGAAGACGGGAGACCTGGGGACACAGGGAGACCTAGGGACATGGAGACACCAGTGACACTGGGAGAGTAGTGGACTCTGGCTGGGACACATGGGGCAATGGAAAATAGGGGACACTTGAAGACATGGGGACACAGACACCAGGGACAAAGATACTAGAGACACTGGCTGGGGGACATGGGGACATTGAGACATGGGGGCACTGGGAGACATGGGGACACTGAGACACCAGGGTCACAGACACTAGGGACACTAGCTTGGGGACATTGTGACACTTGAGGCACTGAGAGACATGGAGGCACTAGGAGACATGGGGACAGTGAGACACTGGCAGACTGGGGGACTAGGGGTCACTGGGAGACTAGGGGGCACTGAGACACCAGGGACACTGGCTGGGAGACATGGGGACACTGTGTCCCCATGTCCCTGTGCCATAATGTCTCCCAATGTCCCTTAGTGTCTCGTGTCTGCCATAATGTCTCCCTTAGTGTCTCAGTGTATGTCTCCTTGCAGCCTTTCCCCCCCATCCCTTACTTCCCTGAGCTGTAGGCTGTCTCTGCAGGGTGGAAGTTGCTGTCTGGACTCTCTGTAGCTGCACCCCTGCAGATCAGTGAGTATAGATAGGCAGGGAGGGATATGCTGGAACTTCCTATCCCTGCCTGTCTCCACATACAGCGACCCCTACTGGCCAGTGTTGGTATTGCAGAGTAATCTCCATTTATACTGAGAAAAATACCAGCATTTATATTGCCAGTATCACTGCAATATTGGCACCAGCCAGGCAGCCTCAAATACTGGCTGTGCCAATAAAATATAAGCCAGGTGGAATCCCTAAGAGAAGTGTGTGAAAAAAAAAAAGTAAAAAAAAAAATTTTTTTTTTTTTTTTTTAAATCAATGGGCCTATTCCATGGGCCTGGGCCTGGGCCTGGAGCTGCAGCTCCATCAGCCCCTATGTTAATCCAGCCCTGCACACATGTAAAGAAGACCGCGTAAAAGAATTATACGTCCAAACATTCCCACAGTGGATGTTACATCCGGGGACTCCATATCAGACTCAGAGCCTCATAATGATAATACTCCTTTTTTAGGATCTCCAACAAAGGGCACTACTACAAGGAGCCGCGGAAGAGGTTCAAACGGCGTATCTTGAGAAGGGGTCACAAGGGGAACACAATTAATCCGTGGAAAACCCCCTCTCAGGGGATAATTCCGGTTTTCCACCTCTCACAACGTCAATTACTTCCTGAAGAATTAGAAATCTTAAATCTTGGTTTGTCTTTTGTCCCCACGTCTAATCCCAACCAATTTCATTGGAATGTGGAATTATTCCAATTTGGCAAAACTATGCGGTTAAAGGAATTTTTTCATAAACCTCAATTAGAAGAACAAGAGCATACAGTAATTCACAATCCATTTAGACGCAAATCCACGTTTGACCCTCAATCCAATAAGGGTAATCTTAACATGTACCTTACAACGGTCCAGTATGAAACCACTCATATTATACAACAAAAATATCATGGGCAATATAATATCACTAAGAAACAATATCACCTAATTATTAGCTTAGCTAAAGACCCGAAAATTGTCATACGCCCTGCCAGCAAAGGAGGTGGAGTAGTCGTAATGGACTATCATCAATATGCACAAGAGATTAGACGGCAACTGCAAGACATAAGTACAAGGAGATCCAACTAAAGAAATACAGTTAGAACTGGAGATTGTTCTTTCAATGGGATTAAGAGCCAACTACATTGATCAAGAGACATTTTTGTATCTTATTCAATCATATCCACGCAGCCCCATAATATATACGATTCCGAAGATCCACAAGAGTCTCACTCACCCCCTGGACACCCCATAGTGTCAGCTGTGGGTGGTATATTAGAACCAGTGGCCAAGTGGCTGGATGCCTTATTTAAGGAGTCAGTGGAGAATTTATCAACATGTATTAAAGATACTCCTAACCTCATATCCAAGTTAAAGAACCAGTACTTTGAAGATACGTCATTGGTTCTGATTACTATGGACGTCAGTAGCCTCTATACCATCATCCCACATGATGTTGGTATAGAGGCTATGAGACAAGCCCTTACTCATTCTACGGTCTATCGAGGACCACCGATAGAATATGTTCTGGAGCTTCTGGAATTTACTTTAACATAATTATTTTCGTTTTGAAAAAGACTGGTTCATGCAAGTTTCGGGTACGTCCATGGGTGCAGCAATGGCGCCTATGTATGCTAATGCCTTTATGTATGCTTATGAAATTGACAAAAAAAATTCAGGTTTTCAACAGCATATTATTAAATATTTTCGTTTTATCGACGATGTGCTAATCATTTGGAGGAGGACGGTACCTCAGGCTCATGCCATGGTAGAGTACTTAAATCATTTGCCCCTACCTGTCAGATTAACAGCGCATATTAGCACAGAAAATATACAATTCTTGGATCTGGAGATAATGGTTGTGGATCATGGCTTATCCTATAGCCTTTTTTCCAAACCAACTGACCGGAATACTATTTTACATAGTAATAGTGCTCATCCTAAACCTTTAATTGATTCAATCCTGTATGCGCAATATTGTCGGGTTATCCGTAACAATTCTGACAATATAGTCATGCAATCACAAATTGATGAGATAACTAATAAATTCCTGGAAAGAGGCTACAAAAAGCACTTATTGGAAAAGGCATTAGAGAAGGCAAAGAATGCTCATGCCAAAATAAAATCCACGATATCACCTAGGTTAGTTTTCCCAATGACATACCACAACAGAGCCAATCAAGTCACTACTATCATGATGAAGAATTGAAGATTATGCTAGCGTTAGTGTACTTATAATCTTAATTTTAATAATGACAGGAGGTGAGTATTTTGCATATAACTCTCTTTACTAACTCCACATAGCAGTAAAGAAAAGTGAAAACATTAACCAATCAAAAATGCAGTAGGAGGTATAGTATTCACAGTGATGAGGCTCCTCCCCCTCTTTCGAAAGCGACATCAAATACAAATTCCCAAAAGGTCCAAAGTCTTGTAACGTGCACCAACGGGTGACTTTTCAAACAAGAAGTTCTAGTGGCTGAAAGACGGTCCAAACGTCCATCCTGAGCCTAAGCTGTAATGTCTCGACGTTACGCTGAAAAAGAACGTGGAAAAGGTTAGGTACCGATCTGGCAATTGTTTGCAGTAATGCAATAGACCCAACACAATTTCCACTGAAATGTCATAAAAACTAATAGTAATGGCGATAACTGATAACAATGTCATAAATAAACAAGGTTCAAACATGATCTCATACAGGGTGAGTAGGAAGATAGTGGAAGGAAGGAATACCCAGAGAATAGGTATACTTACGTGAATCCGTATCCCTCGAGGGTGTGGAGGGCGGGAAAATACTCGCCTCCTGTCATTATTAAAATTAAGATTATAAATACACTAACGCTAGCATAATCTTCAATTTTACCACATGACAGGAGGCTTCATATTTTGCATTTTTAACGCTGATGAAGGAGAGACGTGGCTGCCCCCGTGTTCGGGCGGAAATAGAAGGTCCGAAAGGTCGATTCTCATGACCAATCTGCGGTTCGTAAGATGGCTGCCAGTTACGCGCCCGTGGCGAAGGCCAACGAAGCCGCGGCTCCGCGTACGGAGTGGGCACCGAAGGTCTCCTCCACTCCCGCCAGAGACAGGATCCATCGTACCCATCTGGCGAGGGTCGTAGTAGAGATGGGTACATGGGGTCTAACGTAAGACACCAAGAGTTGGCCCGAAGATGAGACCCGAAGTAGGGATGTGACCTCTACGTACCGACGCAGAGTAGACACCACGCAAAGCAGCGGTTCTGTAGGGAAAAAGGGGTAGAAGACTGACGAGGAGTCAGATTTCGTACGACGTGACACTTGGAAGGTAACTCCCTCTGGGGAGACCGAAAAAGCGTCAATGTCGAATGCCCGCACGTCCGATACTCTGCGGAACGAGACCAAACAAAGTAGGAGCGTAAGTTTGGCTGATAATTGTCGGAGGGAGAGTCTGTCGTTATCTGACCAGTCCTTCATGAACTGTAGGACGTCTTCCACGTCCCATAACCGGGAGTATTTAGGTTTCGGAGGCCTCTGTAGTCTGATGCCCTTGAGGAGACGGCATACCAGTGGATCTTTGCCGACGGGTATCCCCAGAACCGGTACGTGTGCCGCCGAAATCGCAGAGCGCACGACGTTGAGGGATCGGTAAGACCGGCCCGTGGAGAATAGATGGGAGAAAACATTCAAGATGGTTGTTATAGGTGCCGTAAAGGGATCGATGTTCCGTTCACTGCACCAAGCGGACCAGGAATTCCACGCTGATAGGTAGCATCGTCTGGTTCCTGGTGCTCATGAATCCCATATGAGGTCTCGCGACGTCTGCGATAAATCTTTGGTTTGCCAGACACCCCTGAAAGAGTCCAAGCTACTAGTGCGAGGCGGTCTTCCAGGATGAGAGGGTGAGGGTTCCCTCTCAGGTCTGTGAGGAGCAGATCCCTGTAGGATGACGCTAGAAGATCCGGGAACCATGGTTGGCCTTGCCATAGGGGGGTGACGAGGAGCAGGGACCCGCGTTGCGTCTTCAGGTACTGTATCGTCCTCGCTACCATGGCGAATGGGGGAAAGGCGTACGCACCCCTGGGCGGCCATGGTTGGAGAAATGAATCTATTGCCTTGCTCTCTTTTTCTGGTAGCCAGCTGAAGTACTCGTCTGTCTGCCTGTTGTTGCGTGATGCGAAGAGGTCCAGGTGGAGGGGACCCATGCTGTCCAGCCACCATCCTTGAGTTCTTCCTTGACTTCATCCGTTACCTGAATGGTTTGATCATACGAAGGGTTCTGGTGGAGGAAGGAGGCCTTCAGGCGTTGCATCACTCTGTAGTGGAGTGGGCCCGGAAAGATTGCCTGGATAGATGCGGATAGCAAGCCCACGATCCGAACCAGGTTGCGGAGTGGAATGGTGTGGCAGCGGATGGCTCTGCATAGTTCCTTCTTGATAGCTGTGATCTTTGAGGTTGGAAGTCGTAATGTGCTGGTCTTGGAATCTATCTCGAAGCCCAGAAATTGTATCATCTGGGCTGGGGATACTTCCGACTTTTGGTAATTCACCACGAAGCCTAGGGATGTCAGGAGCTGAGTGGTATATCGTGTGTGTTGCGTTAGACTGTACCTGTCTGAGGAAAACAGTAGCAGGTCGTCCAGGTAGATAATGCACCGAATTCCTTGAATTCGTATTCGAGACACTACTGGCTTCAGCAGTTTGGTGAAGCACCAAGGTGCTGAGCTGAGGCAGAAGGGGAGGCATGTGAACTGCCAGGGCAGACCTTGCCATAGGAATCTGAGGAATTGGCGGCAAGATGTATGGACGGGTACCGATAGGTAAGCGTCCTTGAGGTCCTGTCTCGTGAACCAGTCCCCGTCTTGGAGCAGGTCTCTCAGAAGGTGGATGCCTTCCATCTTGAAGTGTCTGTACATTACAAAAGCGTTGAGCCTCCTTAGGTTTATAACCAGACGGAATTCTCTGGATTTCTTCTTTACTAGAAAAATGTTGCTGAAGAAACCCCTTTGGTCGTGAACGGGTTCTATCGCTCCTTTCGCCCTGAGTTCCAGTAGTTCGCCATCGATTAGGCGGTGGTCCTCCTTGGAGCACTGAATGGGGTGCGGAGAGGCAGTCTGGTATGGGGGCTCTACGAAATCGATGACGTAGCCCCGAACCATCTGGAGGATCCATGCGTCCGTGGAGATGGCTGTCCAGTTCTGAAAAGACAGAGCGATACGACCTGCAGTATATGGGGTAAGTGGACATTGAGACACTATGTTGCTTACCTGTGGGGAAGCGTGCTCTGCCACGGGTATAGGAGAAGGGCTGCCTGAAGCCCACTTCCGGGTAGAAAGGTTGGGGTCTGTGAGACCGGGGGCCAGAAGGCCAAAATTGGCTGGCTGCTCGACCCCTGTGGCGCCAGCCTGTCCAAAAACACCCCGACTGGGGTAGCCCCTGAAGACTCGTTTCATGGAAGTCTGAGCCTTATTGAGGGAGGTGAAGATGTTTTCGTGTTTGTTCAATTCTTTTAGGAAGGCTTCCCCCAATAATTTGCCCTGTGCAAGCGGTCCCAACTCCTTGGTGCCCAATTCCACCAGCTTCCTGTCAATGCGGAGCAGCGCTGCTTTACGCCTCTCAGAGTAGAGGGCTACGTTGGTGTTGCCAACGAAACAGAAGCACCTTTGTGCCCATTCTCTTATATCATGTGCCCACTCTTTTACCATGCTGGCATCGAATTCGTCAGCCCTTGTAAAAGCATCGTCCGCCAAAAACATGATGCGGGAAAGTGGACCAATGGAGTCCAGGAGTTTGTCCTGAACTCCTTGGAATCCTTTCTCCACTCCTCTCCGGGGGTCACGGCCACCCGAGACATGAATGTGTTCATGACCTGGTCGAATTCCGGAGTCTGAGCCACGTGGTTGGGAAGCGAAGGGCGAGGGCATTCGGAGCGTAGGCGGTTGCGCACCGTTTTGTCCAGGGGTTTGCGGAGCCACGATGCATAAATTTGGAGAGGTGGTCGGGGGGGTCCAGTCCCCAGAACGCGGATGCCGGATACTACGAGGGTCGAAGAGACGTTGTCCCGTGGGGTCCAGGATGGCTTCCCCTTCTTCTCGGACTGGTGTGGGGTCGTCCGGCAGTTGGATGTCATCTAAGAAACCGGTATGGGATCCAGTATCTGAACCCCAGTCATTGTCTTGTGAATCGGAATCTGCGGCCTGCCACTCGTCCAACACGGCCATGGAACATGTGTGTTCTTCCCCCTCATCAGAGGAGTAGTGGGCGGCTGTAGGTGGGGCTGGTCTGTGGCGTTTGGAAGGCGCCTTGCCTTTGCCCAGGTTGTCATTCCCTTTTTTGCCCTTCCAGTGGCGTTTGCTGGGCCGCGAGTCGGCCTGTGCATGGGATTCTGAAGCCTCAGAATCGTAGTCATGGGGTTGGACTTTTGTGACTTTTTTGGTTTGATCGGCTGTTGCCATCATAACCCTGGACAGCGCTTTCTCCATAGAGGCGGAGATGGCGTCAGCAATCATTGTTTGGAAGTCCGCAGGGTTCTGGGATGTTTCCATAATGTTAGGAGTAGGACCGCTATATAATTTAAAACCACTTGGCACAGGGAATACGTTGGGCTAGGGGTCAGTCTGCACACAGTGAGTGAAGGTACCAGCAGTACCCAGGTAACCCCAGCAGGGTGAAATTATATATATATATATATAATAGGAAGAAGTAGGCACCCCAGCAGGGTGAATATGTTAAATCCAAAGAGTGTGGTAATAGTAATACCAGTTTCCCCAGCAGGGTATATTGGGTTTTTTCTGGGCCTCACCCAGTTATATATATGTATATATATATATAGGTGGCACGAAATCCACCTGACAGCAGCGATAATATAGGGCCTCACCCAGTATGTAAAGTATAAGTGGCACAAAATCCACTGGCAGAGAAAGTATATATGTAAATATATAAGTATAGGGGTCTCACCCCAATGCGCAGGGTTAATAACCCTATATTGTAGGTGGCAGACTTTTGACTAACCTGGGGACCCCTGCCTGATTGAGTCCGGTTGCTGAGCGCTTGGGAGCCGGAATGAGGGAGATCGAGGGCCTCCCAAGATGGCGGTCGTGGATCTCGCGAGACGCGAGATCCAAGATGGCCGCCGGAGAAACGGGAAAGTAGTTTCCCGTCGTGCCGGCTATAGTGAGTGCGGCTGTGAAGCCGCAAGGGAGAAACGGGCGGGGGAGGGTGATCGTTACCCTCAGTAGGTGGGACAGAGAAGGGAGAAGCGGTCCGACGGCGGAAAAAGCCGGCGGACCGAACGGAAGGGAAAACAGAAATCCCTCGGTAGGAGGGGGGGAAAAAAGAAGCAGGAGAAAGACCCCGATGGAAAATACCCTAAGGGAGCTAGTCCCAAGAGGCAGGATAAAGTAAATAAAGCAATACAAATATAACCTACATAAACAGTATACAGTAGAAGAAAATAAGCATGTATATAGTACCATACACAGTAAAATAAAAGGGAAGAGCCAAAAACTCTGACCTGTCTGCTGATGGAGCAGTAAAGAAAGAGGGGGAGGAGCCTCATCACTGTGAATACTATACCTCCTACTGCATTTTTGATTGGTTAATGTTTTCACTTTTCTTTACTGCTATGTGGAGTTAGTAAAGAGATTTATATGCAAAATATGAAGCCTCCTGTCATGTGGTAAAATTGGAACATGTCCTCGCATATTACTTTACCTCCAGCTTTTAAGGAACCGCCCATGATTTGCTACCGTAGGAATAAGAACTTACGTGATATGCTTGTAAAGACCGATCCAGTAAAGAGTTACCAACAGGAGCATAATGTACAAATAAGAGGTTGTGTTAGGTGTCTCGGTTGCGTGACGTGTGGCCATATGGTCCCGTCACGTACCTTCAATCATCCACATAATAATAAACGTTACAACATAAGACATACCATTACTTGTAAGACCCCGTATGTAATTTACAAAATTTCTTGCCCATGTGGCTTAACTTATATTGGCAAAACGGACACCCCACTATGTGAACGTATCAGGGGACATCGGTCTAATATTAGGACTGCCAATAGGGATGGCCACTCTGATAAACCAGTCGCCAAGCATTTTTTGGAGTTGGATCATTCTCTAGCTACCCTTAAATTTGTCGCTATTGATCATATATCACAACCCCTTAGGGGTGGAGACCGTAGCAGATTGTTGTCGCAGAAAGAAACATACTGGATCCATGAACTGAATACTGTGTCGCCATATGGATTGAATGAGTTACTATCCTATCAACCCTTTATATTACATCAAGCTATATTATATCTTCAAAAAAATTTCATAAAGTTTTTGCATTCATATTATTTTTTTATTATTATAGTATATTATTTTTGCATTAAGTTATTAGTTTTCATAATTTTTTCACATGTTTATGATGCTGGTAATACGACAATTATGTATATACTCTATCCCTATCCCTATCCCTCCAAAGCGGGTATCCCGATTGGGCAATATCTGTGTTTACGTAGAAACTGCTCAACCCTCGAAGATTTTAAGATAAAGGCCGCTAATTTGCGGAAATCTTTCAAGGATAAAGGGTACCCAAACAGAGTTCTTAAGAAGGCATACTCAAGGGCATTAAACTCAGACAGAGTGAATCTTCTTGAGGACAAAATTTTACCCTCTAGCCATCAGATTCGCTGTATTGGGACACATGATGGAAGTTGACACACAATGCTGCAGATTCTCGGCAGATATTGGCCGATCCTGACATCAGATGTCCATATCAAATCAGTCATCTCTCCTTTTCCTTCCGTTACGGCACGTAGAGGGAAGAACTTTAAGGACCTCTTGGTACCTAGCCACTTTGGTCCATTTAATAAATCTTCTAAATCCTATTTACCTAAAGGCACTTATAGATGCGGTCACTGTAGTGCCTGTCAGTACATAGGTAAAGAAACGAAGATTTTTTTCGACAGTTTGAATCTTGACTCTCATTCTGTACAGTCTTTCTTCAATTCCCGTACAGAGGGAGTCATCTACCTTTTGACATGTTCTTGTGGCATGAAGTATGTCGGAAAAACATTCCGACCTTTTAAGTTCCGCATTAGAGCACACGTCAACTCAGTCAGAAGTAAACTGGAAACTCCCATCTCAAGGCACCTCAAGACTTGTCATGCAAATTCATCCAGTAGGATACGCTTTATGGGCATAGAACTCATAACTCAAACACAACGTAAAGGGGATTTGGATCGTAGGCTCAAACAAAGAGAATCCTACTGGATATATAAATTGAAAACACTGTCACCACAGGGATTGAATGAAGGTTTTTCACTCTCATCATTTTTGTAGACTGATAGGTATTTCCACCAACAGTTTTATATACAACAGTTTCTATACAACCATCTGATCTACCTTATGATAATGGATTGCTGTCTTTAAATTTGTAAATAAGTCAATAATAAAAAATTCTCTTTTTCTCTTCCTCTTTTGCATTAGTCACATGGTTCCTAATAGGTTTCATACCTTATTATATTACATAGCTGCCTTAAATGGTGGTGAATTTCTTTTGAGATTAACCAGTATTCACAGTCAATCCTGATTTGAAACGCTGTTTCATTATTTGTAAAGTATAAAGAATATATAACCCTCTGCAGTGTAAACCTAACTTAAGCCTTATACTTAATTGCCATTATTAATATTTTTCTAGTTAATTTTTCTTATGGGTATATAATTAAGCACTGTTATTTAGTCTTGTATTGTCAGTTCATCCTGAGGAAAGCCCCAGACGAGGGCTGAAACGTTGGTGTGATGGATACACTTTGAATAAAGAAAAAATTTTATATCTTAAGTCCGTGAGTGCAAGCCATTTCTTTACATGTATATTTTTTGGCTATGGCTTTGAAGCACCCGGCCTTTAAATTTAAGCCTGAGTGCAAGGATACAAGCATCTTTTTCGTGTATATATATATATATATATATATATATATATATATATATATATATATATATATATATATATATATATATATCCATTCTCCAACTCCTTGGTTTTGCACTCCAGGTGCCTCATCCCATGGCCTTATTTAGCCTTGTACTGCAAAGAGCCCCAGATGGAATTTTTTTCCCCAAGTAAGTGAGTTATTCACATAAGAGCAGACATTAGGCTGTTAGTGTAGGACCTGCCAAAGATGGGGTACATTGACGTTGGAGCAGGCTTATGCAATGTATGATCATATAATGTAAGTAAACCCCCATAATTTTGCATAGATAAGGTGTTAAAAAAAATAAAATAAGGGGCGTGGCCTGAACCTGAAACGGAGCGGACGCCATCTCTGCTTCCTCCTAACAAGCCTGAAACAAATCTGCAAACATCCTGCAACGGAACCGACCGATTGCCAGACCCACCTCGAAACCAGCATCGGGGTGACGAAGCGCACACATTGATGCCTTTCTTTCAACCCCAGAGATCTGGCAAGGTGAAACGGAGGCTCAAGGCCTATCCCTCGCCGACCATCTCCGGGCTCGAGGACTTCCTAGGCGGGGTGTACAGCCGGGGTGAGCATACGCTATCAAGCGACCCCTTGCCGACCCACAACGATACCCCAACGAATATGGGGAGACGTACGCAAAAAGCACAGTCCGGACACCCAGCAGAGCAGCCTGACATAGGGGCTCTACTACAGAGACAGGCACAATCCAAGATGGCCACGGAGGCTCAACAAACTCCGACACCGACCTGTGCTGCATCTCATACTCCCACACAAACGGAGAATAACAGTGAGTACACCCTGACACCACCACAGGCACCACCTGACAACACTCTGGCCACCAAACAGGACCTCCTTAATTGGGTGCAAGACATCAAGGAGACACTGGCCACAGATGTGGGCCTACTTAAAGGGGAAGTACAAAAAGTAACTGAAAGAGTAAGGGTGACAGAGGAGAGCATCGTGAACATTCAAACAGACATCACACAAGTAAAAGAAGCAATACAACAAATGCAGACTACCCAAATGGGACTCTCCATACAACTGTCGACCCACGAAGACCGAGCTCGGCGCAATCACGTTAAGATACGAGGGATACCCACCGACATCACACCTGATGAACTGCCTCACTATGTGAGAAGGCTCCTGGCCACCATTCTACCGCCAGCAACAGCTAGGAAGAGGCTCCTTGATGGGCTCTACAGGCTCCCACCCTCGAATACTATGCCCAACACAACTCCCAGGGATGTTATCTTACGCTGTGCCACCACACAGGACAAAAACAACATCATGTCGGCAGTACGGGACATAACCCCCTTGACCTTTGAAAACGCACAGCTGTTATTTTTCCAGGACTTAACCAGAGCCACCCTTCAGTGGCGCCGAACACTGTCCCACTTTACAAACCAACTGCGCGCCGCAGGGGTGCCATACCGCTGGGGTGCACCTCGATCCCTGCTAATCACTCACAATGGGACCACGCACAGAGTTTCCACGCCCACAGAAGTACCTGCGGTGCTCACCAAGATGGGTCTATTTGCAAGAAACGACACAGCAGAGACCCCTGCACAGAGATGGGATCCAGACAACACTGTACCATTCACCCCGAGAAACATGACACTGACAAACCGGGCCACCTGAATTACAACGGCTAGAAAGCACTCTTAGAACCACACGAAGTCCCTGGAGACGGGATGGTGTAAATGACTGCTCCAGCCACAGAAGACTTATGGTTTTCCTTTAGAAAGTTTTTTCTTAAAAGTTTAATTTTTTTTACTCTTTTATGTATATAATTACCATATTGTTATTGCCTTGTGCGACATATGTCACTGCGCTTCACACCCTTGACAGCACGCAGGTAAACGTTAACCCATAGATGACCGATACACACGAACAGCTTCACACAACGATCGGGGACGCAGAAACTCCACAAGCTCCCTCCCCCCCCCCGCCAGCCCCTTAGGTCAGGGGTACACCATCCTCCGGGAAACCCTAGATACACGGGTGCCCAGTCCACCAACATTGAACGCACATTTACCCACAGCTTGACCAAGATATCTTGACACAAGACCAGCTCACATCAGATATGCTGAGCAACTTTATCATACTCAACCTCAGTGAGCTGGGCCAACCGGCACCACGAACCGCCACGAGCCTGGGGACGTAATGCACCTGAACACAACCATGGCACAGCTCTCTTGACCACCCATAGTAGGTGACATCCTGGCACAACACCACACGAACACCTGTAATACAGCATCCTGTAACCTTGAAAACTACAACTGTTACCCACACACACCACTCCTGCTGACACACACCCTTTCACCTTTTGTCTTATACTAAAAATAAAAATGGAGCTGCTGCAGGGGGACTGTTGTGGTCTCGGGCAGTTCTCTCCCCCTCTACCGGGATTGCCGGTCCAAGTAAGTCCAGGGGTCAGATTTGCCACAGACATACTAGGTACGCCCGTGGTCCTTAACCGTTTTTTTGTCGGACATACCTAGTACGGGGTATTAGTAAGGGGTTCAAGGAACACACTAGGCTCAGGAACACAGACAGGTATTCTCCCCCTCCTAAATACAGTACAATCTTACAGTTTATTCAAGTCTGCAGCTGCTGACTCTGCCTCTGCTTGGCTGACATCATCAGAAGTCATTCTAAGTGTGTTAGTTTGTGTGTGTCTGTTAGTGAGTGAGTGTTTTTTTTGTGAGTGTGTATGTGTCTGTCTGTCAGTAAATGTGTGTCTTCAGCACTTAGCTTTCTCCAGCGCCAGACTCGTTTGGCGCTGGGGATCTCTCCGCCTCTCAGCTCCGAATGCGCATGCGCGGCCTTACTCAATGCTTTCCTATGAACATGAGACAGCCACTAGAGGCTGTTTCTCTGAAACAGCTACAGGGTTAAAACTAGAGGGACCTGGCACCCAGACCACTTCCTTGAGCTGATGTGATCTGGGTGTCTGGAGTGGTCCTTTAAGTGTATGTGTATCTGCATGCACTGGCGTACATACCGCAGTCGCAGGGGTCGCAGCCCTGTGACCAGGTGCCCGCCGCCATGTGTTGTAGTCCCGCGCAGAGTAAGCCACTAGAGGCTATGTTTACAGCTGCAGGGTTAACCCCTAGATGGACCTTGCACCCAGACCACTTCATTGAGCTGAAGTGGTCTGGGTGCCTAGAGTGGTCCTTTAAGTAAGAAAGTTGTTACGTGCTTTCAAACTCCTGTAATTTTTAAAATTGTTCCTGTATGCCATTTACTTTTTTTTTTGTGCAATTCTAGGTTGGCTTTCAAGAAAGCATTTGCAATAATGTTTGTAAAGCCTTAAACAATAATACATGTAGAAATCACATATGCATATGCAATATTTTTCCTTATACTTTGCCTCGGCTTTTATAGACATACTACACTATATTAGAATCCAGTCCCATTTTGTTTTCTCTTTTACATTGGCTCCATTAGGTTCCACATAAGGATTTTATTTGTTAAGCGCTGCTTCTCTATATTTCCCATTCTATAACTAATGTAATATCCATAGATTATTTTGCAGCTAGTGGCCATTTGTTGTTTAAATGAGCAATTGTTTTACATGGAGGTGGAAACTTGTGTAAGCAAGTTTTGGTGGGACAAAGGTCTTTAGAGAAAAAAAAAAAAAAAAAAGTTTACAGTAATAAGAATATGGCTCTCAAATAGTGAATTAATCATCTGTGACACAGCTACATTAACAAAATTACATTCGACTTTATTGACTTTAAAGCAGACATTTGATTGAGGAACATGCCTCATAAAATGGTGTATAAAAAGTGCAAATCAAAATCTCATTCAGCTCTTAAAACAAAATTCAGGATTTATTGCTAACTCATTATTTGCATAGTTCACCAAGAAAGGGTAATGGGACGAAAGCTGGCTGTGTTAACCATCAGCACAAGTACCTTGTCTCACAGTAAATGCAGACTGTTTTACCTTCATAGTTTTTCCCCAGAGTCAAGCATAAGTGAATAGAATTACACAAGGATAAGCAGGACTCAAAGCAGAGACTATTAACATACACCCTTGTACACCATGCACCCCTTTTCTGGAGAAAATCTTGAGTTGGCATGTTTTCTTCCTTTTATTGCAGACTGGGAACCTGAAGCTGTAAAACACTGAATTTAGAACAAGGAACCCCATATTCTTCTACCAGGGTTCCAAAACGTTCAGTTGAACACAGGTCCATACAGGAACTGAAGTATGAGAAGTTAGGATTCAAATGAATGTGGATAATGCATGTGGCCTTCAGTGCACTGCCCAACATACTAATTGCATGAATCTTAAAAGCATTCAAATAATATCCTGTCTGCAACCTCTTGCCGCCACTGCATGACAGAATCACACAAGCATTTCTAAGTAACTTCTCTTGCTATATTCATATAACTAGGAAATTACTACACAAAGTGGCTAATATCAAATCAAGACAGATCTATGCTTCTGATCTCTGGGTTTAAATTATTTGTCTTCCAGAAATTTTATATAGACATTACAATAATGCAGCATCCTGGTGTGGGCAGTTCATCTTGACACTATTCCCATTCCAAACCGAGAAGAGGAAGAAGGGAGGAGAAAAAAAAAAAGCGCACAATAGCACATCCCTTTATTCATCATTTGTGGAAAATCCCTTTAAAACAAAAAGCTCAGCACACTACTTTTGGCAAACATATCATAGTATCAAGAATCTGCTGATAATACTACTGTCACTGGATTAATTTCAGATCCTACAGACACAATCCAAAATTATTTCTGTAAAAAAGGGAGTATCGATTAGGGAAGACAAACCCATATGGCTGATGTATAAAGTACTGATCATCATATTCTAGTCCCAGCTAATGACGATGGGAGAGAATTTCCATAAGTCTGGATGACCCATGTGCATGAGGTTACTGAAAGGAGATGTGCTCCATTGGAAAGGTGGGACTTGATCCCATGTAGGTCCATTAACTGCCACCATCTGATATTTGCTGGCCATGGCAAATGAGGTTACCTGTGGGGGGAGGGGTGCAATAAAAAAAATAAAGTTAAATCTTTTTAGATCTTCTAAAATATTCACTATTTGCACCAGTGAAGTCAAGGAGAATGTGATAACGGGATATAACGGTATACACTTAGAGGGGTCAGGGAACGATAGTGATAAATTCCCACCCACACTTACTTTCATGTCTGTGCCTCCATGTTGCCGTTGGCGTAGAGCTCCAAATGGATAGGTGCCATTTGCTAGGTTGAGATCTGATCGAGCAGAGATTGCATTCTCCCCATTTGGCTTGGGAATACAAGTTGAGCAGATTGATAGGGGATCGTTTAGAAAGTCATTGTATCTAAAATAAGTAGTAAAAATATGTTACTTTTTTCCCCCCATTTATGGAAGGTAAAGTGGAGAAAAACAGAAATCACTGCATACCAATTTTATATCACCTCTGATGGCTGGAAACACAGGCAGCAAAATTTGTTTGATATACAAGTCTAATGACTATGTATACTTTTGTATTAGACAGGGATGATTGCATAGAAAACTACAATAGGATGCTGAAGTAAATGTAGAGTTTAAGCTTAATTCTAAAAAAAAAAAAAAAAAAAAAGTCAATATGAACAATGAGGGGTGTGGAAAAGGAGTATATGGTTGATGATCAACGTCAGAAGACAACTTGGACCTAAATACATCCCAAGAGTTAAATTAAAACCTTTATTGGTATAGATAAGAACTAAAATACAAGCAGAAAAACAAAATTCTAGTTTCACAGTCAAGTAGCATAATACAGTATTAAATCAAAAGAATACAGATAAGTTCCCATTCAGATAGGGATAAATTCAGTGTATAAATGAAATTTAAAGATTAAAAGTAATATCTTGAAACATGGAACCCTAGAATAGAATAGATGGAGCAGCCCCTAATTATGCAGGCTTTATCCCACAATTGCTAATGTGGATATTCACACCATAGATTGTGGAACCCCACCACTCCACCTATTACACAGCTATTATCCTGAATATCCATTTGTGTAGTCTTATACCGATGGCATAGAAGTAAAGCCAAGAAGGTCCAAATAACAGAGCAGAAAACTATAAATTTGTGAGCAGCTTAACAGTTTGTCATGACAGGTGCACTTAATGTAACAAAATGGAAAACTATCAAGAAAAACTCACCGCATTAACTGTATCATTGAATTCAGATCCTGTATATTTGTTTGATTTCGGTGGAATATCTGCGCGCGAGGATTTCGGTCATAGCTAAACCAGTCACCATACTTTTCCACCAAAGCAGGCAGTCCACTGACATTAAATATCTGTTTAAAATAGCTGTGAAGGGAACACAAATAAAAGACGCATACAGACATTACTTCATTAGCTACTGTAAGTATTTCTGCAAACCACCTATCGTTTACAATGTAAATCCAACAGCCACGAGTTAGAGAAGCAGTCTGGATGGTCGGCTAGTCCCCGATCATTTTTTAGGAAGGCAATGTAAATGCTGCCTCTCCAAGAACATAAGGGGAAGGGCGAGTGTGGGGACACGCAGACCACAAAGTGGAGATGTTTCTCATGGTCTCCATAAGTAATTATTTTCTGCCAATACCTAAATCTGAAGTTTGAATCTCTATTTATGATAGAAAGAATAGTATTAACATCCTTATTTGCTAGTAATGGAGTAAAATGATCAGAACGTACGGGAGGTTGTAGCTGGCCCAATATCCTTTGCTGTAAAGCTCATCTGACAGATCAGCTGTCACCACCATGCCGCTGAAGGGAGATATGGAACAAAGAAAAAAAAGTTATTAAGGACGCTATAGTCTAATATTCTATACAAAAATTAAAAAAAAACCCTCTTTATATTTCTAAAAGGTACAAGTAGGGAACAACTGACTTGAATCATTTCACTTTTCCCTTTTTAAAATGGCACATTTACAAACAAAATAGATATACCTCACAGTGTATCACTAAATCTTATACCAGTAATTTGCCGTCTTAATATTATACAACCTTTTCAGTTGCCTTATAAGAGCAAGTTGGCTGTGTGTATAAACATATTCCATAATATGCACTTGGCTAACTCCCAGATAGCAACGTCAAAAAGCAGCTTTTTTTTAATTTATTTAAAAAAAAAAAAAAAAAAAGAAAGAAAGAAAGAATAAATTTTACTTACGGAATTTGCTCTAAGACAGTTAAAAGGCCGGCAGGAGCCGTAGCTTGTCCAACACGAAATTTATTGTAGTCCACAATCATCCATTGGTTATTATACCTGGGAGAAACCACAAAAAAAAAAAAAAAAACACACACCACACAATAAATAGAATGAAGCCACTTTAGATGAGATGCTCTCCCTACAACTGTACAAAGACCAAAAATAAGCTGTCCCCTAGATTCCCCCCCCCAAAAAAAGACAAAACCCCACCACACCAAAAACAAAACCAGATATTGGGATTATTAAGAGCGAAAAATAAACTGTATAATCCACAAGCCAAAAACCTTTCTGGTTTCCAAAATAGAAAATAAAAAGATAACATCTCTTTACAAAGCATAGGTTTGAGACTTTGTGGTAAAGGATGATCATGCATTTACATGGGAGTGGAACCATTCTCTACCAAACATAACTGGCTCAGCTGAATATATATATCTCACACACACACACACACACGTTTTCCTGGCACTATAGCTTCCCCCTCTGTCAAGCCTACCCTTGACTGTCACTTACTTACCTCGCTCCAGCACCAAAGGACGCTCCTTCGGTGCTCGCTCAGCTCTGCCCACACTGCTCCCCCGCCAACATCTGCCGGCGCGTTAGACCTAATGGGCATGCGCATCAATGGTCACGTTCGCATTAGGATTTCCCCATAGGAAAACATTAGTAAATGCTTTCGTATGGGGATTCCGGTGACGCTGGAAGTCCAGCATTGTTTAGGTGACCAAAAGTCGCCTATCCACTCAGAAATCCCTCTAGTGGCTGACTTGTAGACCACCACTAGAGGAGGAGTAAACCCTAGCAGGTTAGTATTGCAGTTTATTTAAAAAAAAAAAAAAAAAAAAAGTAGTAATTACATGCTTAGGGTTAAGGGTGATGGGAGTTTGCACCCAGACCACTTCAATGAGCTGAAGTGATTTGGGTGCCTTCAGTGTCCCTTTAAGCAGACTCCTCTTAAGGGAAGAGGTGTAATGGGATTACATAAGAGCTCTTATTGTGTCGATCTGTGTTTGTAAAAACGTGCACGGTTAATTGTTCAGGATGTTCCTTTAGACGCATAGTTGTATGCATTTTGATTACTACTGTACAAAGTTTTCTGTCCCTTCAGCACATACAGAAACAATAAAAGGTGATATTAATCATTTACCAACATTTGAAAGCCACCACTTACGTTCCACTATTGAACTTCTCGAAGAGTTTAGCCCACTCTTGTCCTCCAGTAGCCAGCCTGTTGGCTACTATATTACGCAACCACTCTAGCACTGAGCCCTGTGGTTGGATGTATTTCCAGAGTAAGGGATTGCTATTACCAATGGTTGTTTCCAGGGTAACCTGTACAACGTACACAGTTAAATATAGAAAGAAAGGTTTTAAAATCTGCATGCACATCATGGTCCTCAAAAGCCAAAGAAGACAAGAAAAATGCACCTGTCAATACCTCCACCAACAGGGCTTAGGGTCACTCAAAAAAATAAATAAAGAAAATGCTAAGAAAAGCAAAGTCCCCTTGTCTCTCTACATGGCTCAGACTTTGCAGGACATGAAAGTTATCACGTTTTGTATTTTTGCCCATAAGCCATTGATCAGAGATTTTGTGAAGTAATAGTATTGTGTAACAATCAAACCAAATGTTTTAGATTACCCACAGGAAACACAATCCCAACACATGTTTAACTGCAATATGTCTGCTATATTATCTATGAAGGACTGATCATACTTGGAAAGTCAGTCCAAGTTTACCCCTGCTGACTAAATGTGACATTTGGCAGTCCCTTTTACACCATTTCTAACCAATATCAGTCACCCATATGTTCTACACATTTATATTAATCTATATCCTGCAGATAGTAGTCTACTTTGCCGACTTATGCACAAAATATGTTCCAGTTGGAAACAATCCAAAACTTACCAGACCACTGCTCAACAAGTAAAAATCATCTCCAGAGAAAATGGTGCCAGGGTAAGAAGAGAAGGTCTGTACCGAGCCTGGCACTGTGGAGCCCCCTAAAAAGGACAAACTCCTAGATAAGTGCAAATTCATGTCACACGTTGCAACATTTTATGCTTTGGAATACACTACCTCGCCCCATCAGACACTTGCTCTTAGACTTGCCTTAGTCCTAGCTTTTCTTTCCCACACTCCTAACATAATTAGTTGTTTCACTGTCCTCCTCACTCTCACCTTTCTTACCTGGAAACGTCAGCCCCAACATTCTTCCTCCGATTTTTATCCGTCATTTGCTTCCAAATAGTACACTTATTCCAGCAGGGACATCATTCAATAATACATTGAAAATGTATTAATCGTTTTGATAAATTTAGTAGATAAAGCCCCAAAGAAAACATGAATGTATTTTCATCTGTATGTTTTCCATAGGCGTATATAATAAAATAAAAAATATAAAAAGAGCCTTGCAAGAGAAGCAGACCTACTTTTTACAACCTTTGCAAATCATTCTCAACTTCCCCAGCCTTTGCCCTGAAATACATTAATCGGAGTCATTATTATTATTATTATTATTATTATTATTATTGGCATTTATATAGTGCCCACAGATTCTGTAGTGCTTTACAATATTATAAAAGGGGGAGATTTAACAATAAATATGGCAATTACAAGAAAACTTACAGGAACTATAGATTAAAGAGGACCTTGCTCAAATGAGTTTACAGTCTACAGGAGGTGGAGTATAAAACACAATAGGACAGGAGATAGCAGTCAAAAAAAAAAAGTTGGAGTGAAGCAGAGCTGGAGGAGAGAGAGAGTGTTGCCCTTTTGGAGAGAGCAAGAGACCGGTATGTGAGGTAGAGGTTACTCTGGGAGGCCATAAGCTTTCCTAAAAAAAAAAAGAGATGGGTTTTAGGGCACTTAAACTATTGAAGACTAGGGGTGAGTCTGATGGTGGTAGGCAGGCTATTCCAAAGGAAGGGAGCCATCCGCAAGAAGTACTAGGAGCAGAAGGATAGAAAGGAAGCGAAAGTGGGAGGAGCATTTGAAAGTTTTGAGAGAGGGTATGTATTTAGAGAATTTAGAAAGAGTTGGTGGAGATAGGCTGGAAAGGTGTAAGTAGAGTGCATGTGATGAAATAAGGGAGAGGGGAGGGAAGTAAAGTAGGAGCAATGAAGATTGTGTCAGGAGGGACAGGTGAGCAGATCGATATATTTTAGTAATGAGAAGTTAAGAGTGAAAGTGAATATTAGAAGGGAGAACTATGAGAAGTCTCTGTGCTGGAGCCAATGGTGCATACACCCATATGACCGCAGCTTTTCAATGAACTGTAATACAGCTCATTAAGACGGTGGGAAGGCAGTCACACGCTAGTCCAGCACACCTGCCACTTCTCTTAGCTCTGTGGAGAGAACAGAAGCGGAAAGACACCCTGGCTGAAGTGCCATGTGTGGAGTGTTCCTTTAATTTTTTATTTCTGTATCAAATTTGCTGTTACATTCCCATATTAAAATTAAGTTCTGAAGAATAAAATGTAAATAAAAATAGCGACACTATATAAATGCTAGTAATATAGTCAAAAATTCTGCTGTCCATTTGCAGAGCTTCCATTTATACTTTTAAATCAGCATTGGCCACATCTTTTACTTTAGCCAGGAAGACGTTCAGTACGTTTGCTCTGTAACAGACGTGCAGTTTCCATTCAGTAAGGGAGTGCTCTGGAGACATGGTGGTCATTAGTGTCTCTGTAAGTGGAAATATTATATAGTATCGCTCTTACCAGTGGGAGAACTGCGAAAGGGGAGATCATATTTCTTGATGATGCGAAGCATTGACTGATATGTGTTCCAGGTATCATGAGACACCAGAAGATCTTTGTTGCCAGGTAGAAGTTTTATTAGTGCTGAGCAGGACCCAGATCCTAGATTGTTAAAAATATCAGTTTTGTTGAAAGCAGATTCTAAGTCCTCTAAGTCTCCCCCAAGTTGGAATAGGCTGCAGAATAAAAATAAATAAATAAATAAATAAATAAATAAAACAAATAAAAAAAACACAACCCACACAACGACAGTCATACGGGCCTATTCACTAAAAAGCAATTGTCGATTGACAAAATTTAGGTGAAAAAATCCTTGTGGGCTGAACTGGTGTTTCATTATTTTTCCTTGATTTCATAAATCTTGGCTAATCACTACTGTTGGCCAAGTAAACCCCATTATGTAATAGAAAAAAAAAAAAAAAAATTAAATTATGAAGTTATTGGGGGGACAGGGCCACACCCCCATGCTGAACAGTCGCTTGAGAGATCAGCACCTGCAGCTCAAAAAAAATTAAAAAAAATACTGATTTTGTACCAATCTGACCACTAGCAGTTTTGCATGCAGGGGGGTACTGGTTCCGGGGTGCGGATTGCAAATTGTGTTTTAGCCGATTGGAGGGATATTCTTCGTCTTCCTAGAAGAAGTCTAATCAGGCAGTTAGTGGGGTGGAAAGCCGCTGCCCTGCTATCCTGTCTAACAGTACCAAGTCAGAAACCTGTAGCTATGTGGAACTGACCCTGTCCCCCTCACTCCTCTGGACCGGTGGGGATGATCCCAGTCCTCACCGTGTGGCCCCTATTACTACTGCAACTCCAAGACTAAATGAAACTGCCAAGCCGATCGGCAGCTCAGGAGCCTTATCAGGAGCCTTATCTAAAAAGGGTGGAGGTCCAGCTACCTATGCCAGGGCAATCTTCTCAGATTTCTGGCACAAGCTGGCCTGATGCTTGCAGTAGCCTGCTAAGCAGAAACAAAATAGATTCCCAGTCCGGCGCTTACCAATTATGATTTAACTCAGGGCCTTGTCTCCAGTCCTGTGGCAGGCCCGAATCAGAGACATCATGCTGGCGCACATAGCACAAACAGGCAACAGTTATCAGTCCTCGAAAACCTACCCTTATGTCTGTACGGGGAGCTGGTTCCCAGCATGAGACATCACTTCCTCTTCCTGGCTTAGCCTATCGCACCTACTAGATGGCCGCGACACTTACAGACAGCCAGATTGCAGCAGGACTATGCCAATCCCCTGGAGGGTATCGGCTGAGCCGAGGTTCATGCGAATGTACTGTCTATCATGTACATGCCGCACTTTTATTCAGCTTGTATATTGCTTAAACATGATTTATGCTTATGTTCTAAGCCAACTCTCTTGACTATATCCATAATGTTTAGAAAAAGAAAAAATTATGAAAATACAGTGACCTAACAATTGTTCAAGGGGAATTCATTGACATATAAAAAGTTCCAGAATTGAAACACAGATAAATATATGATAAATGCCATCAACCTACAGAAATCCAAGAGGGTTCAGCGTGAAATTTCCCTGTGGAAAGGATATACGATCATTGTAGCTGTCCTCAAGGCCTTTGAGCTGAAGCAGAGCAAGGTGAATCTGCACAGAATATTAAGGTTCATGAGACTTCTTCACACAAGCAAGGGACACAAACACATTTATGTTGTTTCAGCAATCACATTGAAATTTAAGCATTACAAGTGTCAATCCAGGTATATCCAACATACAAATCGCTGACTTATCAGACTGCAAATCTCATGGTGCAGAGTCAACCTTTGGGGCAGAGGTAAAAATAGGCCCCTCACATGCTGTATGACTACATCTTCCATAGTTCTCCCAGTGTAATAGCACTGAGAGGCACATTGGTATCTGCTAACTACACCTAAGTTTAACTCCTTCATTACAAGTTTTTTTGGTTTTTTTTTTTGGTTTTTTAAGGTAAATGTATCACTTTGGGACAACGGTCTCATTCAAAAGCTTTAGCTTTGAATAAGTCAGTTGCCTCACTCAGGCTGGAAAAAACAAAACAGTAGATAGATATGATTTTTGCATATTTACCTGCTTCTTCTTTCTTAGACTTTCCATAGCCACTCCAGGGAAAACAGTGATCCAACCAGTTTATTATTCTTGTGAATGCTTGAAAGGTGTATTGGGCATGCCTGACATATTTACACATGTGCAGTTGGAAAGGGTCTTCCCTTGCAATAGCCTGACGGGGTGGGGGGAGTCTGATCAGTGTGATTCATGCAGAGCAGGCTCTAGTACTGGATTTATCTATCCTGCTGGTGCACATTGATAGCCTGTTTCTGTCATTGATGGGACTAGTCTGGAACTGAGATGAGTAGGTTAAGATGGAATGGGGCTGAAGAAACTCTTAGACGAACAATGCAATCTAAGTTTATTTATTTTACATACTGTTCAAACTTTCTTGCTTTATTTTGACTTGTACATATTTTTAGAAGTGTTTGTTTGCACTAGTTACGAGCAACATATTCTTGAGGTGGGAATTTTCTAAATGCTTTTCCTCCCCCCCTTCCCCCTCCAATTTAGAGGCAAGTTTCTGTAATTCACATGTTACCTGGTGCCAATAAACAGGATCCTCTCCTTTGTCCATCTCTTGCTGCATCCAAGCAAAATTGGCCTCCAAATAATTGCGCAGCCGCTCACAGAAAGGGGTCTCATATTTGTAAGGACCACAATAGCCCATCAACGTGTTCATCCAATGCATGTATATAAGCTGCAGACACATACAAATCTTGAATGCATATCAGCACACACAGCTAGTACAAAACCAGCACTTAAGAGAAACAATGCAAAATGGTTGCAATGACACATACACACAGAAGTTTGTTTCTTGTATTCACAACATATCCTTTCATAAAAAACAAGAAAAATAGAGAGGTTTTTGTCTGCCAGAGATATTCTTCTCAAAGGACAGCACAAAGATGCAAGTGCAGTATTTCCCAGGGCAGAATTTCCCAGAAGGCACAGTAGGAAACTGCTTATAGTGCAACCTATGCAGGAGGGTGGCTGAGAGGAGTTGCTCACTATTTTTAGGTTTATTTGTGACAGTTTGAGTGAATTTTGAGGTTTACATTTGCACAACCAGAATTCCTCAATAACTGATTTACGTTACTGTCAGAAATCACTAACATTGTATTTAAGTTGTTTTTAATATATTAAAACGGTGGTTATAATCTTAAGGTTTCATAGAAGTATCTAGAAAGCAGTTCAAATGCCATTACCAAGTGTCAGCAGAGGTACATGGTGTAGGGTTAATTTTCATATCTGCAGGTTTATATTTTGGACTGTTTTTCCCTTAAAAGAACACAGGTCTTATTAGAAAGACATTTTCCTTCATACAGCATTGTTTTAATGTGTTTGGAACATGTTATAGAAGAGATTGTAGGCTGCAGAGAAACAAGGTAACCAATGTGAGATGTGCAGCATTATAAAGATGCTCAAATTGCCATGCTCTTGAAAACCAGATAGTTACCCGCTGCGTGACAGAAGCTTCAGCCACCCCTGCAGCATAAGCCTGGATACTGTCATTATAATATGCATTTGTACGGAGTTCAAGAATGGCCCATCTGGAAGGAAAAAAAAAAATAAAACACAAACATACATAAGTGACAATGCAATTAATGGCCCTCAGGTACTCTAATACATACAGGACCTTCATTCAGATCAGCACTCTTTTCCTTTCAACTTAATTTTCTACATTTCTCTTCTATATCCATACAAAATGTGTCAATTCCGTTAAAAAAAAAAAAAGGGGGGGGGGGGGAATTGAGTCTTTTGCTCTTGTACTACTAAAACTTTACTTGTGGGAGGACAGTTACTAAGGAAGTCCCACAAAGGAGTACTACAGTCACCAAGAGCTGCTTTTAGAAGGCTTTAGAAATGTGTTTCTGTAAAACAAAACGTTTTGTATTAAGCCCAGCCCGTTCTGTAACAGCCTCAACCCTTGGCCACACATTCAGTTCCACCCCTATATCAAAGTATATCTGCTATACGTTGGGGTGGACAAAGAAGAACTTTAGCTATTTCCTGGGTACAACTCCTGTCACAGGAATGGCTTTAATTATCCAATGCTAGTAATGCCATCCTGGGTACCAATACTTACTAAACTCCACCAGCCCCTCCAGTTCCTCTTTTTACCCACTGCTTGGTTCAGTCCTTTCCTCCTCTCAGACTGTGCCCATGTACCTCCTACCCCAGCTCACCCATTGTCCTGTATCCCATCCCTGAGCTCTGCCCAGGCCACAGCGTTATCAACCTTCTCCGGCACGGTGAGGAGATTCCCGGTGGCAGAATCCAATATCACCGACACCTGAGACCTCTCCTTTGCCTCCCCACCAAGGGGACCCAAGCACAAGACCAACAGCAGCCAGGCAGCCATGACACCAGTCACATGATCCATCCGGCACATCACGTGACAGCCAGAGATCACCTGAGCCCAGAAATTAAAGGGCTGGCGGGGGCGTGGCCTGTTATTAACTCTTTGCTGTCATGCCAAACCCATTTTCAGCCAATAGACGTTATTATTTCCAAGCAATAGACCATATAGACCTGCTGGTATGTTGTCAGTAAAAGACTATGTTATCTATTAAATGAAACCATCCATGTGAGGTATTCTCATGGGTAATATCCCTGTACTATAAGGGGTGTTATATTAATGAAATCTACCATCAGACTTAGCTGGGAATGATTTACACTTGGTGTCTGAATCGGTAAAAGAGTATTCTAGCGTATTTTATTATTTGCCGTTTCATTCAGGTGTGATTTATGCAAAATAACTAACTCATATAGTATTTGTCTTACTCTGTGTGGGGAGCACTATGAAAGACACGCTGTGTCGCTGGCCCTTTAAGTAGAACCCTCCCCTGTCTATTTAGTGGTTTCCTGCATGTGTCAGCTGATCTGAAAGCTACCTTCCAGCCAGCCGAAGTCCCTGTGATAGAGCTGCAGTCACGTGCCTGGAGAGGTCACATGATGCAGAGTGCTTGAAGATGCAGAGGGAGGGAGACTGAACTCCAGGAATGTGCTGTGTCAGCTCAGTGCGCAGTTCAGGGTTACTTGATTCCTGAAGTGGAATCAAGGAATAATCTTGAATATTTTTTCCCATATGCACTGGATTGACAAGGAAAAATGATATGAGAAACAAACTTATGTTTCATAGCACATTGTATTTACAGCAAGATCTCATGTTATCGTTAAAATGTGCATTTCTAGGAACTGAGGTGTAAATAATGTTCACACCCAAAGATATAGAGAAAGATAGAGATAATTATTTCCCCCTGCCCCCAGAGGTAGATCTTTCAGATAAGCATTTTGATGATCTTTGTAGGATTCAATTATTGGGGTGTGTGAGAATGGACCTGGGGTTACCAGCCAATTTGTAACAATAACAAGGTTAATCGCTGAAATCTTAATGGCCTTTTACTAAATGGGACAAAATCATCCTACGGAGTACGGGTCATTTGGACTGCAAATACCAGACATTTTTTGAACTATTTAAAAACGTCTGGAATTTGCAGAGCAGACTCCGAATGAGCCTAAATTTGGTTGGGAAGTCAGCCAGACTCCCCAATCCTATTCTTTGTACGCGGTTCGTAATGCGAAAAGCACTGATTTTAAACCAGACACGGATCGCCTCCAACCGAATGGTACAGATTAGACCAAATTAGAACCAGCATTGGTTTAGTAAATATAAGAACTGCCATTCCAGTCAGAATTTGGACAATTCTGATAAAATCTGGACCTTAGAGAATAACATTGCAAGGTTTTATTTATTTTGTAATTAACTCTATATTGAAGTTTTACAAAAGTCAATACACAATTCTAATACAATAGAAACAAATAAAAGCCAGGTGGTATAACGGTCATTGGTAAGCAGGAACATAACAGAATAAGAAAAAGAAAATAAACTTGATTATATAAAGGTGATTCAAGAAATATTCCCACTTCCACTATTTTGGTCAAAAATGCTAATTCCTCAGAATTTAGCGTTTAGTGAATAACACTGTGTATAAGTGAATAAACAAATGGAAAAAAAAATTACTGGTTCTCACAATGTAGTGAACTGAATATTGAATTGCAAACGTCAGACTAAAAGATTCGTGTTATAGCTAGTTATTTGTTTAACCCCTTAAGGACACATGACGTGTGACATGTCACGATTCCCTTTTATTCCAGAAATTTGGTCCTTAAGGGGTTAAATCTATGCATCTTTGAATTTTGTCATTTGGTTTTCAATTCAACATTACTGTATAAATCCTTTCAGTTCTCAGACACTAACCAGTCAATTTAATTCTCTCCCCCTCTCCCAACAAGAGGTCATAACATGCTCAATCTTTCTTCACTTACTTCCATAGCAGCAAAGAAGAAAACAAAGTACACAAAAAACATGTTTAAACAAAAGAAAAAAAAAATCAAGAAAGCATGAGTAAATGTCACACTAGGCATGAAATGCTTTTGGCAGCTATTTTTTTTGGGACATTTAGATTTGTGCTCTCCTATTTTTGTGTGCCATTTCTTTTTATTGAATATTATTTATAGTATAGAATATTATTAATAGTATATTAATATTTATTGAATAATATTCCACGGAGTGTCACCCTCCCCCCCCCCCCCTTTTTTTGGGGGGGAGGAGGGGGTGTAGAACCGACTGAAATTTATTCTTATAACAAAATCAAAAAGCATAATAAAAAAAAAAGTCAATGAAAAATACAAAATCCTACAAACAGTCTCTTATTTAAAGGCTTAATTCAAGCAGCAGGACCATTTCAGTGTTTTCAAATGGTCATGGTGGAAGGACTCTGTGTGTGCAGCATTTCAGTGTAAAACACTGAACAAACTTAGATATTTTATGTTGCTGCTGGAGGGGGAAAGCTTTCATTTGTAAGCCAGGAACAAAAGTTCCAGGCTGGCCAATGTCAATTATGTATATATTTAGTACACAGGAGGTTTATTCATTGGTTGAGAGCACTCAACTGACACAGTATTTCCCTTACCAGGAAAACGTGCCAGCGTATTCCTGGCATCATAAACACTACTTGGGGTTTTAACAGTTATGATGCACAGTAACCCTTTCATTTTAGACAATTAAAATCGCACTGTTACCCATCACAATGACTTTTTCATTAAGATAAAATACTCATACTGACTGTTTTGGTATTTCACTGAAATTCCAATGAAGTCTAAAGATATACTGCGACAAAGTAGGAACCACTTTGTCTAAGTATTTTTCCTACGCCTGACACTTCGCCGTCAAGAAGTTTCAATCCTCAACCATCACCTGTGACGGCTACAGGGAATTGGCTCCATCAATGCAAGATCTTGCAGTATCTTCCACAGATCTCAAAGTTGTACTCTCGAGCATGCACAAGAGTATAGCAGGGGCATCGGCTCCAGGCAGCTTAAATGACAACAGCAGAAGAGAACCATCCAGGAGAGAATGGACAGGTTCAATTAAGGTAAACTCCCCTTTGCCTGCTCACCCTAGGCACTGAATCCCCAGCAGCGATTTCACCTTTGGCGGTCTTTGCAAATTATGTAAAGTCCCCAGACGGTAACAGTGCCACTTTAAATGTTATAAAACAAACTGAAACTTTCTCAGTTGCTCCTAAACCTACGACACATTAAAATCAGAAATCTTGTATAAATATATGTCAGCAAAATATCAAATAAAATCAAAGAAAGCCCTCAACAATATATAATAAAATGGATTCAATATCAAATGAATAATATGCATGCATCTACAACAAACCAAAAATGACAGACATAAAGTCCATTATCTTGGCTATAAATACTCAGTTCATAAAGCAGTTACAATATCTGCTTTTACTTGTGCTTATGAAAAAGCTGAAGCAGCCTTCCATTAACCGCTTAAGGATTAAGGACCAAACTTATGGAATACAAGGGAATCATGACATGTCACACGTCATGTGTCCTTAAGGGGTTAAAGGAACACTAAAGTGCCAGGAAAACAAACTTGTTATTAGGGCCCTCCTCCCGCTGGGCTGAAGGGGTTAAAACCTCTTCAGCCACTTACCTAAAATCCAGCGCCGGGCTCCCTCCCCGTCGTTAGCTCCGAATGCGCATTCGTGGCCAGAGCCGCACGCACATTAAAACTGCCCATGGGAAAGCATTATTCAATGCTTTCCTATGGAGGTCAGCATCATCTCAGTGTGATTTTCAAACTGAGAATCACGGAAGTGACCTCTAGTGACTGTCAGGGAGACAGCCACTAGAGGCTGGATTAACCCTCAATGAAAACATAGCAGTTTCTCTGAAACTGCTATTTTTTTCAGCTGCAGGGTTAAAACTAGAGGGACCTGGCATCCAGACCACTTAATTGAGCTGAAGTGGTCTGGGTGCCTATAGTGGTCCTTTAAGAGTTCTTGATAACCATAATGTACCTATTACAAAAAAGAGAGAGAGATTTTGCATAGCATAGTGCAATTTATTTTAATGATTATTATTAAAACCCATACATCACATTTTGATGAGGACTTGTTAAAAATCTCACAATCAAGCCCAGTAAAGTACAGTTTAATTATCTTAACTGGGAACTCAAACCCTTACAGGAGAGTTGGTCTTTACTTTTCTGTGCTTGATTGCATACCACATAACAGTGACAGGCCAAAAACTAGCATGACTGAATTATCTTTGTAATTCTTGGTTTGTGCATTGGATTTAACAAGGATGACTGCTGAATTACATCAATGTACTGTATGCTATGTATTTTTTATAAGACAAATGACAATACACACAAAAATGCAACACGTATATATTATTGCTTTATTTTACATCACCATGTAAGCAAAAATTTTATTGAATATTATTTCTTATAGTATAATAATATTTATTGAATAATATTCCACAGAGTGACTTTTCTTTCTCCTCCTCTTTTTTTTGGGGTGTAGAACTGACTGACATTTTTCTTCTTATAAACACAATCAAAAAGCATAATAAAAAAGTCAATGAAAAATACAAAATCCTATATATGACAGTATACAGTGAGGGAACAAAGTATTTGATCCCCTTCTGATTTTGAATGTTTGTCCACTGACAAAGAAAAATGATCAGTCTATAATTTTAATGGTGGGTGTATTTTAATAGTGAGAGACAGAATAACAACAAAAATCCAGAAAAACGCATTTTAAAAAAGTTATAAATTGACTAGCATGTCACTGATTGAAATAAGTATTTGATCCCCTATCAATTAGCAAGATTTCTGTCTCCCAGGTGTCTTTTATAAAGGTAACAAGCTGAGATTGGGAGTGCTCTTAATCTCAGCTCATGTACTGTATAAAAGACACCTATCCACAGAAGCAATCAGATTCCAATCTCTCCACCATGGCAAAAACCAAAGAGCTGTCCAAGGATGTCAGGGCCAAGATTGTAGACCTACACAAGGTTGGAATGGGCTACAAGACCGTCGCCAAGCATCTTGGTGAGAAGGTGACAACAGTCAGTGCGATTATTCGCAAATGGAAAAAACCCCAAATAATTGTCAGTCTCCCTCGGTCTGCTGCTCCATGCAAGATCTCACCTCGTGGAGTTTCAATGGTCATGAGAATGGTGAGGAATCAGCCCAGACCTACACGGGAGGATCTTGTTAATGATTTCAAGGCAGCTGGGACCATAGTCACCAAGAAAACAATTGGTAACACACTACGCCATGAAGGACTGAAATCCTGCAGCGCCCGCAAGGTCCCACTGCTCAAGAAAGCACATGTACAGGCCGTCTGAAGTTTGCCAATGAACATCTGAATGATTCAGAGGAGAACTGGGTGAAAGTGTTTTGGTCAGATGAGACCAAAATCAAGCTCTTTGGCATCAACTCAACTCGCCGTGTTTGAAGGAGGAGGAATGCTGCCTATGACCCCAAGAACACCATCCCAACTGTCAAACATAGAGGTGGAAACATTATGCTTTGGGGGGGGTTTTCTGCTAAGGGGGCAGGACAACTGCACCGCCTCAAAGAGATGATGGACAGGGCCATGTACAGTCAAATCTTCCCTCAGCAAGGGCATGGAAAATGTGTCGTGGATGGGTATTCCAGCATGACAATGACCTAAAACACACAGCCAAGGCAACAAAGGAGCAGCTCAAGAAGAAGCATATTAAGGTCCGGGAGTGGCCTAGCCAATCTCTAGACCTTAATCACATAGCAAATATCTCGAGGGAGCTTAATGTTTGAGTTGCCAAACATCAGCCTCGAAACCTTAATGTCACGAAGAGGTTTTGCAAAGAAGAGTGGGACAAGGTCTGACCTCTGTGATTCAAAATCAGCAGGGGATCAAATACTTTTTTACCTCACTGTATATATATATATGAATCTTCATATGCAGAGTAGTGCATTGACTGTTTAATGTTCACATTACGTAAAATTGTGCCATCAGACAAGGCAGAACATAACTGAATGAGACAATATCTTGAGTGTCCAATGTCGGAGGACAGTCTTAACTTGAGTATGTATCCTGCCATCCATGGGTTATATTTCAGAGTATGAAGTGCACAATGTATAAAAAACATTTTAAAAAGAAACACTCCAGGCACCATAACAACTTTATGAAAATTACGTTTGCAATATAGTGCCAGGAGGTCCCTGGCAGTTTCCTACCTGGAAGGGTTAAACAGTTTTCAAACAGTTTAACCCCAATGGTTACCTGTAGCGCCAGATATCCCTTTCTCCCAGCGGCATTTGGCTTCTGCAATTGACTTGAGCATTCAGGTGATGAGCGAAGCCAATCCATAGCTCACCATTCATAAAAAAATAAATAAATACATTTTAAAAAGTATGGCATGATCGCTAATGGGCTACCACACTTTTGTGCTTTAGTTTTGCCAACTGGAACAAAGAAGGTATGTAGATCTAGGAATACATTTAACAATAAACCTGTTGCATTGTTTCACTAAACATATACCCATTAAAGGTTTCAGTATGTAAAAATCAACAAGTATATCTCTTTTCCAAGCACCAAGGCTCTTACACATAACACCTAGATTTCTTTAGTTGGGAGAATAGGGCACACCAGGTTGTTTGGCCATTGCACGGTTTACACATTCAAAGCAGTGTTCTAAATCAATGCCTTGTGCTCGTAAAATATAAATAAACACACAAAAAAATAAAGTTATTTTATAACATTGTACAGCGCTACGGAATCTGATGGCGCTATATAAATAATAAAATATTAATTGTTTAAAGTATTTGCAATGTAAAGTGTACCTGTCATAAAAAATATGCAGGGCATTTAAGAACAGGGGTTATCAAACGAGATGCCACACCAAGATTTATTTTAGAATTACAACTCCCATGATGCTCTGCCATTCTTAGAGGGACACTCCAGGCATGAAGAGAACTTTTGTGCATTTTATAGCTTTGACCTAAATTTTTATTTTTGTATGGTTTTGCAGCATTTTGCATTTTAACCTGGTTTCCGGTCTTATGTCTCATACCCTAAAATACTACCTTGTTTCTGGTTACTGTATATTCTTACAGCATCGCTTTCTCATAAGGAAACGTGGATGACCTACAATGGCAGGTATGTGAACCCTTTAGATATAGAGACATTGATGTATAAATTTGAATTAAAATCTGGTTTGATGTTCATCTACGTTACAGTAATCAACACAATCTGTTTTAACTAACACACAGATCATTGAAAGGTTCGACTACCACTGGCGTACATACCGAGGTCGCAGCTGCGACCGTGCCCGTCACTCTAGGGGGCCCAACCGCCCTGCAGACCCCAGCGACCGGGTGCCCGCCGTCATCATTTGCAGCCCTGGCCTGTGCGGCAAGCCAAGGGGTCCATCGGGTGACCCATGCTGTCAGGGCCATCCGGTGGAGATGGATTGTCAGGGGGCCCAATCAGCGCTGGGCGCTTTAACAGCGCGACCGGGCCCCCTGTGATGATATCATTACTGCTGGGAGGAAGTGACTCCACGTCACTCCTCCCAGCTTACACACAGAGCCCGCACAGGAGGAAGAACAGGGAGTCAGAGTGGGAACTCTGACTCCCACCAGCCTGAGCCACCACTGGACCCCAGGGAAAGTCACCCTCCTGCACCTAGAGGGAAGGAAAGAGGAGGGTGACTTAAATATTAAGTGTGTGTGTATGTATTTGTGTATGTATGTGTCTGTGTATGTATATCTAGTGTGTCTGTCTGTATCTGTCTGTTTGTATGTGTCTTTGTAGGAATGTGTGTCTGTATGTGTGTGTGTGTGTCTGTCTGTTTTTATGTATGTGTCTTTGTATGAATGTGTGTGTGTGTATGTGTCTGTATGCCTGTCTGTCTGTATGTATTATTATTATTGCCATTTATATAGCACCAACAGATTCCGTAGCGCTTTACAATATTATGAGAGGGGGGATTTAACTATAAATAGGACAATTACAAGAAAACTTACAGGAACGATAGGTTGAAGAGGACCCTGCTCAAACGAGCTTACATTCTTTAGGAGGTGGGATGTAAAACACAATAGGATAGGAATTTGCAATCAAATAAGGTGGGAGTGAGGCAGAGCTGGAGGAGAGAGTAGAGTTCCGCCCTTTAAGAGAGAGCAAGGGACAGGTATGTGAGGTAGAGGTTACTCTGGGAGGCCATAAGCTTTCCTAAAGAGATGGGTTTTAAGGCACTTCTTAAAAGATGCAAGACTAGGGGAGAGTCTGATGGTGGATGGCAGGCTATTCCATAGGAAGGGAGACGCCCGTGAGCAGTCCTGCGAGCATGAGTTGGCTGTACAGGTGCGAACAACGGAAAGGAGGTGGTCACGGGCAGAGCGGAGAGACCGAGAAGGGACATACCTATGGATCTGTGAGGAGATATAAGAGAGACTAGAATTGTTCCGTGCTTTATAGGTGTGAATTAGTACCTTGAATTAAATCCTATTGCATACAGGAAGCCAATGTAAGGGCTGACAGAGGGGTGAGGTGTGAGAGAACCAACTAGAGAGGAAAATCAGTCTGGCAGCAGCATTCATTATGGACTGTAGCGGTGCAGTATGGCTTTTGGGAAGACCAATCAGGAGAGGGTTACAATAATCCATGCGGGAAATCACTAGAGCATGGACAAGCTCCTTGGTAGCATCTTGCATAAGAAAGGCTATGTTTTTAAGATGGAATCTACAGGATTTGGCAACATACTGGATGTGAGGCTCAAAGGTGAGGCCAGAATCAAGTATGATGCCAAGATAGTGCGCTTGCTGGATGGACTTATGTGGATACCACTAACTTAAAGGGAGAGCGAAAGAGGAGGCTCAGCATTAGGAGGAGGAAAGACAAGGAGCTCAGTTTTAGACAGATTAAATTACAGAAAGCGGGATGACATCCAGTCAGAGATGGAAGAAAGGCAAGCAGTGACACATTGCAGGAGGGGAGGAGAGATATATCTGGGTGTCATAAGCGTACAGGTGGTAGTGGAATCCAAAAGAGGTAATAAGTAATAAGGCAGTATAAAGAGAAAATAGAAGGGGACCAAGTACAGAGCCTTGGGGGACTCCAACCGAGACAGGACGAGGGGAGGAGGCGTCATTAGAAAAGGAGACACTGAATGAGCGTTGGGAGAGATAAGAGGAAAACCACGAGAGGACAGAGTCACAGAGATAGAGAGTGATTGAAGAGGTTGAAGAAGGAGAGCATGATCAACGGTGTCAAAGGCAGCAGAGAGGTCAAGAAGAATTAGTATGGGGTAGTGGCCTTTGGATTTAGTTACGATTAGGTTGTTAGTAACTTTGATAAGCGCAGTCTCAGTAGAGTGGAGAGGGCGGAATCCAGATTGAAGAGGGTCAAGCAGAGAGTTGGAATTGAGGAAATGAGACACACGGGTAAAGACAAGTCTTTACAGAAGCTTTGAGGAAAAAAGGAGCAGGGATATAGGACGATAGTTAGAGAGGGAGGATGGGTCAAGATATGTTTTTTTTTCAGGATAGGTACTACAATGGCATGTTTAAGATCAGCAGGGACAACGCCAGAAGAGAGAGAGCAGTTGAAGATGTGAGTTAAGGAAGGCACGAGACAAGTGGCGAGTGATCTGATAAGGTGAGATGGGACAGGATCGAGTGGACAAGTGGTGGGGCGAATGACAAAGAGAAGAGCAGCCACCTCTTGGTCAGTAGCCGGGGAGAACGTCTGAAGGGTAGGAAAGGCATGATCTACGTGTGGTTGAGAAATGGCAAGGAGGGGAGAATTCTTGTCGGTAAAGTAACATGCAAAGATATCGGCAGTAAGGTTAGTTTAGGGGGTGGCCACAGCAGGGCAAAGAAGAGAATTAAAGGTGTCAAAGAGAAGCCTGGGATTGCGGGAGCATGAACTAATGAGAGAGGAAAAGTAGGACTGTTTGGCGAGAGCAAGGGCTGCGCTGTATGAACAAATTATGTATGTATGTGTGTCTTGTCTTGTCTGTATGTATGTGTGCCTGTCTGTATGTGTCTTTGTATGTATGTTTGTCGTGTGTGTGTGTGTGTCTGTGTCTGTATGTGTGCCTGTCTGTCTGTAACTGTCTGTATGTGTGCCTGTCTGTCTGTATGTGTGTTGGTCTGTTTGTATGCATCTTTGTATGTATGTGTCGTGTGTGTGTGTCTGTCTGTTTTTATGTATGTATATGTCTTTGTATGTGTGTGTCTGTCTGTATGTGTCGTTTGTGTATGTATGTGTCTGTATGTATCGGTCTGTCTGTGTGTGTGTCTCTTTATGTGTGTGTGTCTGTTGGGGGGAGAGATGGAGGGGGAGAAGAGGGAGGAGGGGGGCATGGGACACTGTCGCACCGGGGCACCATGGGATATGTGTACGCCGCTGTCTAGGTTGGGGAAAAAGTATATGAAACCCTAGGCTTATGACTTCATCAAACGCCAATTAATACCTTGTATCCAATTAATAAAACAAGATTGGAAAGGTGGGTTAGAGCTTTGTTTGAGGGGACTACTTGCCAGCCTTTTACCCTGTGACTATGGCCCCTTTAATTTATTATGGTTAAAAAACCCTATTTGTACCTATTAGGACTTTGGACAATAATTCTTCGAACTTTCCAAGTGGTTCGAACCACTTTGAACCACAGAACAGCAGGACCACACACAAGTGGAGTGTGCAGCCTATTTACCTCCCAGGCTGGTAGTTAACCGCAGCACAATTGACGAATGGCTGGGAGATCGCATTCGTATAGTCGAACACGTGGCGGCGGCCATCTTGTTTAGTCGAACGCGGCCATCTTGTTTAGTCAAGTGTGTTCAGCTGTGTTTTGTCGTTGAGTTCATAGAACTCAAATTGGACACGCGATGGCACGAACACCGCTGAACAGATACCTTCCATGAAACTTCAGCTATTCGAATGGGAATCAGACGGCGTTCGGTGGGCAGAAGCCCATGAACAAGGGATATATACTGACTACATTCATGAACGGCTACGTTCAGGAATTCGAACGGTATTTCGACTATTTGAAATAGATCGGTCAAAAAGAGACTTCCAAGAATTTCCTGAACCCCTGCTCTGATCTGGGTGATTTTGGATACGTTGTTCACCCAGATCAGGGCTATCAGGGGATGTAACATTTATGGGGATATGTTGTATTTTGGGGTCCTTATGGGACTTCATAAAATGTTTTTTCTGCCTGGAGATAACGGAGTTACATACAGTACTTTACTCAATTATCTCCCATGCAGAGGGGAGCGATTGTGTGCAGTGTATGGGAGTGTCAGGCATTGTGTTTTTATTGGTTTGTCAACTTTGTAACCGTGTGCCCCATCAGGTCCAGGTGGGTTTTCCCTTCCATGGGGACCTGCATATAAGGCCAGCAGTGGCACCATTAAAATTGAGTCCTGTTTAACCCTCAAAACATAGCTTGGTCTCGTGATTGGAGGGGAACTGATATACTTCTATATCACTAGCTCTTATAAGAGCTATACAGCTATACTCTCCTGGAGGAGAGGTCTTTCCCACACAGTCCTGAATATCAGATGTTGGTCCAGGGTGGGAGGAAGACGGCGAGATCTCAGCTAAGCTACGGTGGTTGTGGAGTCTGCAGTGTTTGTGGTGTCCGGTGCGGTGCTTACGGTCCTCAGAGTCAGCTAGGAAGCATCTGTTGGCGGAGGTGCTCAGTCGGGGTGCCAGGTGGTCCGTTACAGCTACTGGAAAAATGATTTGTGGATTGATGAAAGTAAGCTTGAGTTGTTTGGGAAGAACATGCAGCACACTATTCATGGCATAAAAAGGGCATCACATACCAACATAAAAACATCACTCCAACAGTTAAGTACAGTGGAGGGAGCAACATTACTTGGGGCTGCTTTAGGGTCTGGACCACTTACAATCATCAAAGGAAAAATTATTTCCCACATTTCTCAAGATATCCTACAGCTGAAGCTCGATAGAAGTTGGGTGATGCAGCAGAACAATCATCCTAAACATCAAGTTGATACACTACAGAATAGCTTCAGAGACCAAACCCTATAAATATACTGTGGAATGACCTCAAGAGAGTTGTTCACGCCAGACATCGCAGGAACATGGCTGAACTGAAGTAGTTCTGTATATTTTTTCCTCAACATTGTGCAGGTCTAATCTGCAGCTACCGGAAACACTTGGTTGATGTTATTGATGCAAATGGAAGATCAACTAGCTACTAAATCCAAGTGTTCACTCTTTCCACAGCACTGTGAATGTTTAATGGAATAAAGACATGAAAAATTATAAGTGTTTGTCTATACTTGTGACTTTGACAAAGATAAGCTGACATTTTATGGCCAATTCATACAGAAAACCAACTAATTAAAAAGGGGTTTTTCTTTTTTTTGCCTCTTTACAAATCACAGAGAGAACTTTATAAAGGGAGTATGTTATGAGCCATGCTGTAGTGTGCCCTGGCACCCCAAATGCAAGTAGTCAAATTGTTAAAGGTTTGGCAGTGCAGGGATTAGCTCATTGACTGAGGTCAAGTAGCCGACACATGACTCCATTCCGGAGCTTCCAGATCTCAATGGAATATAGGGAGAAAAAAAATTCAGTTCAGATTAAACTGTGTGGCATCAACGCACACAACAGTGACATTGTGTGTAAAGGGTTTTTTAGCTGCCGGAGATACTTCTTGTCAAAGGATAGCTACTGGAATTACAACACAAAGATGCAAGTGCAGTACGTATTGTGAAATGGTGGGCAGGGCAGAATTTCCCAAAAGGCACAATATAAAACTGCTTACAGTGCAACCTCTACAGGAGGGTGGCTGAGAGGAGTTTCTGACTATTTTTAGGTTTATTTGTGACAGTTTAGTAATGTATGAGGTTTACATTGACATTTACCCATCTGGTATACCTTGAGAATAATTTGCATTATGGTCTCAGAAATCACCTACACTAAATCAATTTTAACTCTATTAGAAAAACCAAACTTATGATTATTCTATATCAGAGATTGATCTAGAAAGTTCTAGGGTTTGATGTCCACTCATACACCCCCAGGGCAGCAGCTCACTTACCAGAAACAGGAGGATGCTACATAAACTATATGTATTGTGTATTGGGACACACCTCTTAATAACTGATTTCAGATTTTTCAATCAGACCCATTACCACAGGTGTATAAAGACAAGCACCTAGCCATGTAGTCTGCATTTACAAACATTTGTGAAAAAATGGGTTGTTCTGAAAAGCTCAATTAATACAAGTGTGGTATTGTGATAGGATGCCACCTTTGCAAGAAGTCAGTTCATTAAAATTCATTCCTGCTAGATATGCCAACTGTAAGTGGTATTATTGGAAAGTAGAAACACTTAGAAACAACAGCAACTCAGCCTTGTGGCAGAAGACCATTTTAAGTCACAGTGCTGGGGTCACTGAGTGCTGAAGCTCATGGTGCATAAAAGTCGACAACTCTCTGCTGTTTCCATAGCTGAAGAGTTCCAAACCTCTACTGTCATTAATATCAGCACAAAAACTGTGCAGCAGGAGCTACATGGAATGGGTTTCCATGGCCAAGCAGCTGCATGCAAGTATAAGATCACCACGTATAATGCCAAGCCTCGGATCAAGTGGTGTAAAAGCTCAATACCACAGGACCCTGGAGCAGTGGAAACATTCTGTGCAGTAACGAGTCACACTTCGGTTTGGCAGTCTGATGGGCAAGTTTGGGATTGGCAGATACAAGCACAATCTTACCTGCCTGACTGCATTGTGCCAACTGTAAAGTTTGGTGGAGGAGGGATAATGGTATAGGGCTGTTTTTCAGGGGTTGGGTTAGGCCCCTAAAGTCCAGGGAAGGGAAATCTTAATGCTCAGCATACCAAGACATTTTGGACAATGCTTGGCAACACTTGGTTTTCCCTGCTGAAAAGACTAGCAATGGATCAACCATGGGAGATTCCAGTTTCCGAAGATCTACTTACTCAAGGTCCTGCGTTTAATCTGGAACCTCACAAATTCGGGCTTCAGGCATGGCTATTGAAAGACAATCCGTAATCAGACCAGGTGGTCTCAACCCTTTTATATTCCAGAAAATGTTCTACTTCCACAACTTATCATAGAATTTGGGAAGCTTTTGGTTTATGGGGAAATTCCACTGTCCATGATTTGTCTACTCCTACCATATCTCAAGTTCTGGGTTTCCTAGAAGCATCCCTGGAGAGGGGTCTTCAACTCAACACCCTTGAGGTACAATGTTCTGCCATTTCTGCTCTTTTTGGAATTCGATGGGCCATGCATCCTACGATGGTTCACTTTTTTAAAGCCATGATAAGAATTAGACCTCCTATTAGAAAATTCATGGCTCCATGGAATTTACCTCTGGTCCTGCAGGCTTTAACGGATCCTCCCTTTGAACCTACTGGTGAAATTAATATGCAGTTCCTTTCTCGGAAGACCCTGTTGTTACTGGCATTAGTCTCAGCTAGAAGGATATCTGACATCAGGGCATTATCATCTGAAGAACCTTACACTACCTTCTTCGATGATAGGGTTGTTATACGTCCAAGACCAGAGTTTCTCCCAAAGGTCGTTACGACTTTCCATCTCCATCTACCACTCCTACCATAATAGGGGTCCCTATTATACCAGGGGAAGGTATGCTTAATTGTTTAATTGATTGTGTTCCCTGTCCTGAGAGTTAGGAGGAGCTAAACGCATATTAAATGCTGCCACGAATAATAGCCAGGAAAATAAAATTACGGTAAGTATGAATACATTTTCCGTAATATCACAATATTATGCTCAGTTATATTTCATGAGTGCAGAATGACAACCTTTGCACACCTTTGTCAGGTTTTCGTGAAAATACAGGGCTGTGCCAAGCACAGTTTTTGAAAAATAAACGGCTAAATGAAGATGGTTATTTTTAAATTACATCATAAAAGCATAAAAGTTTGAGGTATTCATTTTAATTTTTTCCATTTTTACACATAGTATTTTTTATGCTCTTTTTTTTTTACATCTCGTGTGTGCCACTGTAATAGATTTATCTTAGTTGTACTCAGCAATATCTCGTGATTACAACAATATGTATATCTTTGGAAAGTATCTCAATACCAATCTAAATCCCTAATTCTAAACCACATACTAATCCCAAATCTAACCCTCTAATCATAAACCTCATCCCAATCCTATATCTAACCCTAATAATAACCTTAATCCTAACCCTAGCAATAGTGTTAGAATGATTTATTCTGGTGGTGTAAGCAGGAGGAGGAGTAAAGAGGGGAAGGGTAAGCCTTTCTGTAATTTGACAGGTAATGAGCTAGATGTTATGGTTGTTTGGTAATGACTGGATGGGTCACCTCTCTTTTCCAATAACAGAAGGAGATGGAGGAAACATCACCCAAATGTATTTCCTTCCCATCCTCCTTCTTTATGCCCCCTGCATCGGCGCCAGACTACTTTTTATATTAAGGGTACCTGGCATTATTGTTATTTAATTGTTCCTATGAGAGAACTTGCATGTCCCTTATTGTTTAGATACACGTTCAGGAATTAGTTCCGGTTAAACCACAAATTCGAAATATGATAGGGACCTGTGTGCCCCGTTGTGTACTAAAATTAAGATAGAAGCCGCACTCAATCCCAGCTTTTGCTGCCCTTTTTGCTGTTCAAAGACCTCTTAGCAGGTTTAAACGTTGCAGCTCTTTTTTCTGTTCCATTAAACCTGCCTGCGGCTTAAACACCTTGAGTGCCTGGTGATTTTCTTTTTGTTTGCCTGACCATTGTATACTAGTCAGACAAAACAACAGAGACCAAGATCCACAAAAAATTTATAAAAAAAAATATATCTAATTAAAGACACCTTAATGCTTACTGTAAAAATGACTAGTGAAACAGAACATGTTTAAAATGTGACAGCCAAATAGCGCTAGGTCAGTGGTGCTGGGAAAGGTTGTGTTCAAGTCGGCCAGTACTTACCTGCTGCCTGACAGCCACCAGGACTATTGCAATTTGTTTCGCAAATCTGTAACTTATGCTAAAAAGCTGGTTTTCGTTAAGTTTCCATCCAAAATAGTTGCTTAGGAAGAACTAAAATGATTACCAACTGCAACTCACAACTTAACAGGGACCTGTAAATGTTGTATCAATCGGTTATAATTGCTGGTTTTGGGTCCTTCGGGACCAGCTACAATGATACATTTTCAATGATAATGAAAAAGTCTTGAAAAAAAAAAAAAATTATATTTACAAAAGAAAAAAAGAAAGTGTGCTTAATACCGAGGTAAGTAAATACGTCTTTGTAGAGGAGGGTAAATTCTTTCTGGAGTCTATGGACTGTCTTTATTAAGTTAGACGTTTAATAGTTGATGCTACAATATTGTACATGAAAGGGAGATGTAAATGTGGAGAACACCATAGCAACTGACTGAAAGTGCGGGGGCAACAATATATTCTTCAGTTGTAGCCATATTGGACATGTGATTCTCACAACACCAGACAGCATTTGAGAAGTCGCGGTTGCTCTATAGTATGTTTTAATGTCCAGTAAGCAACCTAGTTTAGAAGGGATCCAGAAAGCACTATGGGCGATTCTAGGAGATTTGTTTCCAAATACAGTTGCAAGAAAAAGTATGTGAACCCTTTGGAATGATATGGATTTCTGCACAAATTGGTCATAAAATGTGATCTGATCATCATCTAAGTCACAACAATAGACAATCACAGTCTGCTTAAACCAATAACACACACAGAATGAAATGTTGCCAAGTTTTTATTGAACACACCATGTAAACATTTACAGTGCAGGTGGAAAAAGTATGTGAACCCCTAGACTAATTACATCTCCAAGAGCTAATTGGAGTGAGATGTCAGCCAACTGGAGTCCCATCAATGAGATGAGATTGGAGGTGTTGGTTACAGCTGCCCTGCCCTATAAAAAACACACACCAGTTCTGGGTTTGCTTTTCACAAGAAGCATTGCCTGATGTGAATGATGCCTCGCACAAAAGAGCTCTCAGAAGACCTACGATTAAGAATTGTTGACTTGCATAAAGCTGGAAAGGGTTATAAAAGTATCTCCAAAAGCCTTGCTGTTCATCAGTCCACGGTAAGACAAATTGTCTATAAATGGAGAAAGTTCAGCACTGCTGCTACTCTCCCTAGGAGTGGCCGTCCTGTAAAGATGACTGCAAGAGCACAGCGCAGACTGCTCAATGAGGTGAAGAAGAATCCAAGAGTGTCAGCTAAAGACTTACAAAAGTCACTGGCAAATGCTAACATCCCTGTTAGTGAATCTACAATACGTAAAACACTAAACAAGAATGGATTTCATGGGAGGATACCACAGAGGAAGCCACTGCTGTCCAAACAAAACATTGCTACACGTTTACAGTTTGCACAAGAGCACCTGGATGTTCCACAGCAGTACTGGCAAAATATTCTGTGGACAGATGAAACCAAAGTTGAGTTGTTTGGAAGAAACACACAACACTATGTGTGGTGAAAAAAAGGCACAGCACACCAACATCAAAACCTCATCCCAACTGTGAAGTATGGTGGTGGGGGCATCATGGTTTGGGGCTGCTTTGCTGCATCAGGGCCTGGACGGATTGCTATCATCGAAGGAAAAATGAATTCCCAAGTTTATCAAGACATTTTGCAGGAGAACTTAAGGCCATCTGTCTACCAGCTGAAGCTCAACAGAAGATGGGTGTTGCAACAGGACAATGACCCAAAGCATAGAAGTAAATCAACAACAGAATGGCTTAAACAGAAGAAAATATGCCTTCTGAAGTGGCCCAGTCAGAGTCCTGACCTCTACCTGATTGAGATGCTGTGGCATGACCTCAAGAGAGCAATTCACACCAGACATCCCAAGAATATTGCTGAACTGAAACAGTTCTGTAAAGAGGAATGGTCAAGAATTAGCACGTCTGATCTGCAACTACAGGAAACGTTTGGTTGAAGTTATTGCTGCCAAAGGAGGTTCAACCAGTTATTAAACTGGTTGAACTTGCACTGTGAATGTTTACATGGTGAGTTCAATTAAAATATGGCAACATTTCATTCTTTGTGTGTTATCACAGCAGACTGTGATTGTCTATTGTTGTGACTTAGATGATGATCGGATCTCCAATTTGTGGAGAAATCCATATCATTCCAAAGGCTTCACATACTTTTTCTTGCAACTGTATAAGCACTAAGAAACTGCTGGGATTTCGTTGTGGATGATCATATGTTACCTATATCTATAGGCAACGTGAGAAAAAAAAAGGGGGGGCTGACTAGATTAGAGGACACGGGCCAGTGCCCCTGGTACTTAGCTCTCTCCCACCAGCCCACTTAGACACAAAGAGGTGGCTACTTTGCCTCGTGTGATTGTCTATGTATATAACACATCAGCAGGTTTCCATAACACACCAATCAAGTCATTAAACCACTCCTCACCTGAATTCATTTAACACAATGCATCCTTACAATGGTTTAAACACTTATTGATATTGATATTGTGTGTTTGTATATATGATCTACATATCTATATAATACACATTTTCTCTAATGTTCTCCCTTCTATTTTTCACATTAACACTAACTTCTGTCATTACTAAAATATCCCTATCCTTTCACTCACCTGTCCCTGGCAACACCATCATCATTACTTCCACCTTACTCCCCTCCCCTCTCTATTCATCCCATGCACTCTACACATACCTTTCCAGCCTATCTCCACCGACTCTTTCCAAATCCTCCACATACATACCCTCCTACAAAACTTTCAAATCCTACTCCCACCTTCACTTCCTTTCTACCCTTCTGCTCCTAGCAGCTGGTGATGTCTCTCCAAACCCCGGTCCCCTCTCAACAAACTCAGCACATACTAACCCAAGGATCCACACTAATCTCATACCCATCTCTTGTTCCTCTAAATCCTCATTCAATACTGCCCTCTGGAACGCACGCTCTGTTTGCAATATAACTAAATCCACTGCTGTCCATGACTACTTCATCTCTCGTTCAATAGATTTACTAGCCTTAACAGAAACCTGGCTCTCCCCCTCTGACACTGCCACCCCTGCATCTTTGTCCTTCGGTGGTCTCCAACTTACCCACACCCCAAGAAACTCTGAATGTAAAGGTGGTGGAGTTGGGTTTCTCCTCTCCCCTCACTGCTCTTTTAAATCTCTTCCCACCCCCCCTTCCCTCTCTTTCCCGTCATTTGAAATACACTCAATTCGCCTTTTCAAACCCTTCGCTGCTAACATTGCTGTTATTTACCGTCCCCCTGGTTCCCCTCTTCCCTTCCTTGACCATTTTGCTGCCTGGCTACCCTATTTCCTCTCTTCTAACATCCCATCCCTAATTCTCGGGGACTTCAATATTCCTATAAACCCACCTTTGACCTCTACAGCCAATAAACTACTTTCAATTACTTCCTCCCTCGGGCTATCACAGTGGGCAAATTCACCCACCCATGTAGCTGGCAATACCCTTGACCTAATCTTCACTTATGCATGTACGGTATCTAATATCTGCAACACTCCCTATCCTCTCTCTGATCACCACCTCTTATCGTTTGCTCTCACGTACCCCCTCACCCAACAACCTCCGCCTAACCAGCCTCAACTCAGGAGGGACCTTAATTCTCTTGATCTCCAACAGTTGTCAGCTGACATTGATCCACAACTGCTGTCCATCCCTTCCCTATCCTGTCCTTCACTGGCCATCTCCATATATAACTCTACTCTTACATCTGCCTTGAACACTGCAGCGCCACTCCAAGCAAGCACCTCAAGGAGGACCCGCCCCCAACCATGGCATACTAAATCAACGCGCTACCTGCAAAGATGCTCCCGGTGTGCTGAACGCTCCTGGAGGAAGTCTCGCACCCAGTCAGACTTTCTCCATTATAGATTCATACTGTGTTCATACAGTGCAGCCCTTGCCCTTGCCAAACAGTCCTATTTTTCCTCTCTCATTAGTTCATGTTCCCGCAACCCCAGGCGTCTCTTTGACACCTTTAATTCTCTTCTTCGCCCCGCTGTGGCCACCCCCCAAACCAACCTTACTGCTGATAACTTTGCATGTTACTTCACTGACAAAATTGAACAGCTAAGGAAAGAATTCTCCCCTCCTTGCCTTTCTGTTTCTCAATCACACATTGATCATGCCTTTCCTACCCTTCAGACATTCTCCCCAGCCACTGACCAAGAGGTGGCTGCTCTTCTTTGCTCCTCTCGCCCCACCACTTGCCCGCTCGATCCTGTCCCATCTCACCTTATCAGATCTCTCTCCACTTGTCTCGTGCCTTCTCTAACACACATCTTCAACTGCTCGCTCTCTTCTGGCATCGTCCCTGCTGACCTTAAACATGCCACTGTAGTACCTATACTAAAAAAACCATCCCTTGACCCGTCCACCCCCTCTAACTACCGTCCCATATCCCTGCTCCCTTTTTCCTCAAAGCTTCTGGAAAGACTCGTCTTTACCCGTGTGTCTCATTTCCTCAATTCCAACTCTCTCCTTGACCCCCTTCAATCTGGCTTCTGCCCTCTCCACTCTACAGAGACTGCCCTTATCAAAGTTACTAACGACCTAATCGCAGCTAAATCCAAAGGCCACTACTCCATACTAAATCTTCTTGACCTCTCGGCGGCCTTTGACACCGTTGATCATGCTCTCCTGTGATGGGATTCCAGCATGGTTAAAATTTAGTAGGCCAAAATCTCCATGTGGCATATGTGTATGTTGTGTCAGTTGGTTAGCTACATGTAGCTAGGATACTGTCATCAGTGTACTGAGCATGTGCAGGAATGCAGGAACTGAAATTGCACTTATTTCCTTTGTCTTGGATGGGCCATGTGGTTTGACTAGATGTACAAGTATATATTCTGCTCATTGATTGGTTAAAGGTATATGTGGGTGTAGCTATTAATGGGAGGAGTTATGTGCCTATATAGGGAGCCTGCACTATTGTTCAGGGCTCAGAACTTGCTGTATTTTTGGTGACATTAGTCCCTCTGAGTCCCGATCGGTGATCCAATAAAGAATCTCTTCCTTCCTGAAGAAACCTGTGTCCATCCCTCTGTGCTTTGCTTCCGTCAGTTTCTCCGGTATCATTTGGTGCATTGGCTGGGAAGCTCATCGTTCAACGGTAGCTGAGAGGCAGAGGCGTGAGACGGTCTATCTTTGCCCACGTTCTCTACGGCTGCACCCCTGAACTTCTGCGTGGACCTCCCTTCGTCTCGGCGCCACTGGTCTGTTGTCCAGGAGATCATCGGCCTCTACGTAAGAAGTGCTGGGGTGTCCCCGTCGATGAGTGTGAACTCAGGTTCAGGAACGAGGAGGTAAGACAACTGCTGTTTTAGACGGCAGACCCACTAGGGGTATACCGATTGTGCGGTAGGCCCAAAAGGGGTTTAAATCTGTGTATGGAATCTGCCCCCTCTGTCGGAGGGAAGGAGCGAAGGCGCACCGCTCGATCGAACGCTCTTTAGTAAGACCGTTTGATCTGGTTAGTCAGGCGGGGTCCTGTGTAAATAGCCCTAGCCGGACACCGGTGTCTTGTCTAGACTAGCGTTCTAGGGTGTATATTACGTTCGCTAGGTCGGAGGGACCGGGAGACTAAGCGGCGCCTGTGTAAATTCGGTTCGCTAGCTCTCAACCTATCTTGGCTAAGTGGGAAGGCGTGTAAATTTGGAACCCACTAGACTTTTGATAGAGTAAATAGACTAGAAGGGCAATTTCCGCCCTCTAGTTCGCTATATGTGGTGCTTGGGCAGTGTGGCTAACCAAAACGGGTGTATATAGTTTTAGGTAGTCTATTCAAGGTACTGGCCAATAGTTTAGTTGGGATTATTGTAAATGTTGTTAAATATATTGTAGTTGGTGAATTGGTTAACTTGTATGTCCTACTAGAAAGTTAGAGCTCTGCTGTCTAGTGGGAGTGTAAATTGTGTGTATAACTGTAAAATAGCGCACGGTACCATAACTACTGACATGTACCATAACCACTGACATTGTGTAAAAATTACTAACAATTGCTGTTTTATGTTATATGTATAATACCATAACTGTTACTAACTGATCTGTGACTTTAAAACTGTATTATAACCACTTACTAACTGTACCATAACCACTGACTGTAAAGATGAGGTTACTAGAATGTGATATAGTTGGTTAGTCAAAAGTTGATTTATAGTACAGATAATTGTAGAGATGAATTTGTTGAAATGTTATGTGATCGGTTAGTTTATATGGATTAATAGCGTGGATAGTTGTATGGTTTGAATAATAGTTACATTGATAAGTGTATAGTCTTTGGTGGGTTTTTGATTTAATTTCGTGTGTGCGACGTCGTGATATTGTTGAGCATGTGAGGATCCTGTGTGTGTGTTTGGGCCTAGTGACTGCGCAATGTGTTGCTGGTGATAAGGAGATTGGTGTGACTGTTGAAACTGTGTGTATATTTGTACAGCTTTTTGAATCAGACGTTCTGTTGAAATAATCTGATTCACTTGGCTGTTAGTCTTTTGTCTTGTATGTTTAAAAAAAAAAAAAGTAGGGAGTAGCTTGTCCTGGTGGCCGCATGGCCTCCATGTAGCAGTCTTCACTTAAATTTAGTGCAGAGTGTACATGTGGCTGTAACTAGTAGGCTGGAATTCTATGATCAGTTTCTATATATTGACTGTTGGAAACTGATTGTTGCCTTGGTGAATTAAACTGTGTCATATGGGAAACAATGTAGCCACATGGTGGTCAGAACTAAGGACTTAATTACAACTGCTTTGGACATCCCCTCCCCCCCTGGCATCTGATTACCAACCCCCCAAACATCCTCCAGAGCCAGATTAGCCACGCCCATTTCTGGCTGGTATAATCAGTATTTGCACTCCCCTGCTCTACTGTCCCCGCCTACCCACATACCTATCTGTTCCTGTGTTTCAAACTCTTGTATTTCTGTACTACCCCTCCCCCTAATCAATGATCAATGGTATCAAATGGTATATTGGGTTTTTTTAGTTACTGGATGGGCCCCTCCCAGCTTTGTCCAAAATGTCCCCTTTTACTGAACTACAAACTGAAATGTTTAATTTACCTTAGAACTAAAGATTTAATCAAACCTAGCTAGCAGGGTGGACATTGATTAAAATAAGTAATAATAAAATAGGACATAATTAATTAAAGTCTATTTGTTTCATTTGACTTTAGGGAGGCACTCTAAGCCACCTACTGGCCATCTTCGGGAGTTACATTGATAATACATTGTTTATAACAGATAGATGTAGGATTGCTTACCCTATTTTAATATATTTATTGCTATAAGGTTTTATTTTATGTATAAATATATTAAAAGTTGAGTTTTCTTATTAGACCCATAAAGATTATTTTGATACAATTACCCTCTGGTGACACCTACTGGTAGGTTTTTGGTTTAACACTTTTAAAAAAAAAAAACGTTTTTTCATCCACCAAATGCTGACTAATAAAATTATCTTACTACTCCTAGACTGGAACCTATTATTGGGCAGCCTTGCCGAAGTCCCATATTAGACACTGCTTGAGTCAAATAGGTTGTATACTCCCTTTAATCCAGAGGCCCCTGAAAACTTCCGAATGATAGACTCAGCATTTGTCAGCCAGGCCCAAGGTGATAGTAAAAGGAAATTAAAGAAAATTAGAGGGATTTGTAGGGATGTCCATAATACAGCTAATGGAGATTGCAAATACAGTATATATGAATAGGGAGATGGAGGAAGAACGTAAAATGAGGAAAAAGGCAGATATGCTAGCGGTAGCTATCTTAAGTGTAGAAAGACAGGGAAGTGAATAGAGGAGACGAGAATAGGCTGAGCAAGGGACTTTAAGTAGGAATTAATGTGCGTATTGTAGAAAGGAGGGACATTGGAAGAGTGAGTGTCCACAGAGAGAGCAGTATGAAGGTGATAGACAAGGAGAGAGAAGGGTACGAGGAGGTTATAGTGGTAGTTATAGAGTAAGAGGAAGTTTTAGAGGGAATGGTGGGAATAGTAGAGGAAGTGTTCAAGGAGACAGATACTATCCACCCACGCAGAGACCTAGAGAAAGAGAGGATAGAGATTTTGTGGGTCTGGCTGACACTATCATGGAAGACTATTGATACCGACTGGGCTCCATCCCACTTGGTCGAGCGTAGCCTATGGTCGATGTAGCAATAGGGGGAAAGAGAAGTTCTTTCATGATCGACACAGGTGCTGAACATTCTGTGGTGAAGCATTAGTTCCTATATATGCCAGAGTGTCCGATTCAACTTTTAGGACGAGATCTATTATCGAAGCTTTAAACTCAGATAACCTTTTACCTAATGGATTAACATCTCTGAAGTTTAAGGGATTACCAGGCATAATGGTGATATCGGTGCCGAGGGAAGAAGAATGACGCTTCTATTCCATAGTGACAAGTGTTAACCCTAAGAGTGATGAATCCTTACTTGACATTCCAGGAGTATGGGAAGAAAATAATCCTCCAGGACTTGCTCGTAATATCCCACCAATACATATTGAGTTAAAGCTCGGGGTGTATTCTGTTAGCCTTTGTATGTTGTTCTTTTATCTACCCCAACAGCTGTAAAGGTGGCGGAAGTGACTCCTTGGATTCATCATTCTAAGGTTAAACCAGCAGCAGACTCTTGGCAAACTACTCCAGATCCTGAGAATCCTTGCAGGACCCGGTTGAAGCGTGCAACTCAGTCGGAGTGACGAGGGGATATCGAGACATTCTAGTTAAAAGTCTACAAAGATCATCAAGTAGGTGTTTTGACGGCCATAATAAAGCCTGACCACCTGCCTACGTGTCATAGCCAGAGTATCTTGAAGGGATCTCTGTGAAGGAAAGTGAGGATCAGAAGAACAACATCCTTGCAGCCCTCACAATCGGGAAGCTGAGAGGCCATCGCACGGTCGAAGAAAAATGAGGATTTCAGGAATAATGTGTTTTATTGTGTCTTAGTATTTTTATGATTTTTCAGGAAGGTAGGAGTATAGACATACCGAATTGCGATAGTTGCATTAAGACTACTAAAACAGGTAACCAAATATCCCAAACTTTCATCTGGCACTCACAGTATGAATGTAAGGGATCTGTATCTAAATGTAGATATTTGGATATTGATTATAGTGTGTGCAAGCCAATATCAGGAGAGTCTAAATGTTTTGATCCCCATTTCCAACCCCGTACAATTTGGTTGGTAATTCGGAATAGTAACTCCCAGGGGACATTAATAAATAGGACTGTGATAAGCACCATACATTCCGCGGGTATTCTACTATTTGATGCATGTAAGGCGATTTCGGGTAGTGGAAGACTTTGGAATGTATGTGGTAATCTTAAATGGGAACGAACTTATGGGTTTAATGATAAATACTTATGTCCCAGTAAAAGATCTACTGATCCTGATTGCCCAAATAGAGACTAACTTCTGCCCCTATTGGTCATGTGTAGGTTGGGCAACCTGGGAAAAACAGTGGATCAAGATATGATTATCCAAAGGTTGCCTACCACACCATACTGTAAAACTATGTGTGTAACCCCGTTCACATGACCATTTCCAATCTGCAGTACTTTATTGACAGGTTTGGAGGTCTGTTTGGGTCCAAATATATGGCACAGGAGTAAATTCAGGAACAATAATATATGTAGGTCTTGAAACTGAGACAGTGGCAACTCAAACTCATCAGGTTTCTCATTCCTTCTATGAGGAGATGAGTATTGAGGATAAAATTCCCCATAATGTTAACAACCTATTTATTGATTTGGCTGAGGGTATTGCAGGTAGTCTTAATGTAACTAATTGCTATGTGTGTGGAGGTACTAATATGGGAGACCAGTGGCCATGGGAGGCAAAGGAAATATGGTACCCTGGCTCTGAGACATATGAACAACAGATACCTTTCCAGTCTGATCATCAAGTAAGTACTAGAAGTAAATTGGAATGGTGGTTAAAAACCTCCATTATAGGTCATGTTTGTATAGCCAGGAAAGGGACAATGTATAACACGTCTGTAGGTGAGCTAACGTGCTTGGGACAAAAAGCCTATAATGTTAATACTAAAAATACTACTTGGTGGTCAGCTTCAAATGTCTCGGAACCTACTAATCCGTTTGCCAATTACACTCATTTAAAGGAGGTATGGTTTGACTTATCGGCTACATCTAGTTGGAAAGCCCCAGCAAATTTATACTGGATTTGTGGTAATAAAACTTATTCGGAGTTACCACAAGATTGGGAAGGGGCATGTGTATTAGGTATGCCAAAGCCATCCTTCTTCTTGTTGCCAATCGAAACAGGAGAGACCTTGGGAGTTAAGGTTTACGATGTAAATCATAAAAGGGAGAGAGCATCCTTGAATATAGGTAGCTGGGAAGATAATGAGTGGCCCCCTCAACGTATTATTAATTATTATGGACCTGCTACTTGGGCAGAAGATGGCACTTATGGATATAGAACTCCGATTATATATGCTCAACCGCATTATTAGACTACAGGCGGTAGTTGAGATTATTACTAATGAGACAGCTCAAGTGCTTAATCTTCTAACTAAGCAAAATACCAAGATGTGATCAGCCATATACCAGAATAGGCTAGCCCTTGATTACTTACTAGCAGTAGAAGGAGGTGTATGCGGAAAGTTTAATCTAAGTAACTGTTGTCTGCACATAGATGATGAAGGGCAGGCAGTGGCTGAACTTACAAGCCACATGGTTAAATTTGAGCATGTACCTACTCAGGTCTGGAATGGGTATAACCTAAGTAGTTGGTTTGGAAGTTGGTATGAGCAGCTTGGAGGAATTAAGACATTAGTAGGAGGAGTAGAATTTATTATATTTTTTGTGCCTCCTCCTGCCCTGTCTAATTCCACTAGTGGTAAGGTCCCTACGTAGTATTATAGAGAGTACTAGAGAGAGAAAGACAGCGGCTCATGTAATGGCTGTCTGGAAGATATGATCCCCTAGCCCGAAGAGAATATATTCAGGATGAAGAATGTTGAAGGAGTTTTTAAGATGCTTACAAGGTCTACTCTGGTTCAATGGCTACTTGAGAGATGTAGGTAAAACTGTGATTGGTGATGCATCTGGAATAATGTTATATCAGAGGCATCAAAGGGGGGAATGTGATGGGATTCCAGCATGGTTAAAATTTAGTAGGCCAAAATCTCCATGTGGCATATGTGTATGTTGTGTCAGTTGGTTAGCTACATGTAGCTAGGATACTGTCATCAGTGTACTGAGCATGTGCAGGAATGCAGGAACTGAAATTGCACTTATTTCCTTTGTCTTGGATGGGCCATGTGGTTTGACTAGATGTACAAGTATATATTCTGCTCATTGATTGGTTAAAGGTATATGTGGGTGTAGCTATTAATGGGAGGAGTTATGTGCCTATATAGGGAGCTTGCACTATTGTTCAGGGCTCAGAACTTGCTGTATTTTTGGTGACATTAGTCCCTCTGAGTCCCGATCGGTGATCCAATAAAGAATCTCTTCCTTCCTGAAGAAACCTGTGTCCATCCCTCTGTGCTTTGCTTCCGTCAGTTTCTCCGGTATCACTCCTTCTTCAAACTCTGCAATCGCTTGGTCTCTGTGACTCTGTCCTCTCGTGGTTTTCCTCTTATCTCTCCCAACGCTCATTCAGTGTCTCTTTTTCTAATGATACCTCCTCCCCTCACCCTATCTTGGTTGGAGTCCCCCAAGGCTCCGTCCTTGGTCCCCTTCTATTTTCTCTTTACACTGCCTCTCTTGGCAAACTTATTACCTCATTTGGTTTCCAGTACCACCTGTACGCTGATGACACCCAGCTATATCTCTCCTCCCCGGACCTCTCCCCTGCTGTCCTGCAACGTGTCACTGCTTGCCTTTCTTCCATCTCTGACTGGATGTCCTCCCGCTTTCTGAAACTCAATCTCTCAAAAACTGAGCTCCTTGTCTTTCCTCCTCCTAATACTGATCCTCCTCTTTCGCTCTCCCTTCAAGTTTGTGGTACCAACATCAGCCCATCCTTGCAAGCGCGCTGTCTTGGCTTCATACTTTACTCTGGTCTCACCTTTGAGCCTCACATCCAGCATGTTGCCAAATCCTGTAGATTCCATCTTAAAAACATAGCCCGCATCCGCCCCTTTCTTGCACCGGATACTACCAAGGAGCTTGTCCATGCTCTAATAATTTCACGCATGGATTATTGTAACCCTCTCCTGCTTGGTCTTCCCAAAAGCCGTACTGCACCCCTACAGTCTGTAATGAATGCTGCTGCTAGACTGATTTTCCTCTCTAGTCGGTTCTCTCACACCTCACCCCTCTGCCAGTCCTTACATTGGCTTCCTGTGTGCTAGAGGAGTCAATTCAAGGCACTAACTCACACCTATAAAGCACTGAACAACTCTAGCCCCTCTTATATCTCCTCACTGATCCACAGGTATGTCCCTTCTCGGTCTCTCCGCTCTGCCCGTGACCACCTCCTGTCCGTTGTCCGCACCCGTACGGCCAACTCGCGCTTGCAGGACTTCTCGCGGGCGGCTCCCTTCCTATGGAATAGCCTGCCTACCGCCATCCGACTCTCCCCTAGTCTTGCATCTTTTAAGAAGTGCCTTAAAACCCATTTCTTTAGGAAAGCTTATGGCCTCCAAGACTAACCCCTACCTCACATACCCATCTCCTGCCCTCTCCTAAAGGGCAGCCCACCTTATTTGATTGCACATTCCTGTCCTAATGTGTTTTACACCCCACCTCCTATAGAATGTAAGCTCGATTGAGCAGGGTCCTCTTCAACCTATTGTTCCTGTAAGTTTATTTGTAATTGTCCTATTTATAGTTAAATCCCCTTTCATAATATTGTAAAGCGCTACGGAATGTGTTGGCGCTATATAAATGGCAATAATAATAATAATAATAATAACAGCATGTGCTACCATGTCAATTTTTTCAACTGTATGTGACTGTGTCCGTATGAATGGATACTTGTATATGTATTCACACTGTCCAACAGTCCCAAGTTTGCGCTCGGCTATCACGCATAATGCAACAATAATAACACCATGATTAATTCAGTGATTTAACCCCTTAAGGACACATGACATTTGTGACATGTCGTGATTCCCTTTTAATTCAGAAGTTTGGTCCTTAAGGGGTTAAAGTGGTGGTGCCTAGAGTCTATACATACAGCATTTTGCTATGAAACACTGCACATACAGAGTTTAAACCATTGGCTGCCAAAGAAGAAGAGTTCACGACTGGCTAGTGGCAATCATGTTCATATTTCTATGCATCGATTTGTGTTCTTTGGCTAAGAGTGCTCAGCTGACGCTCTCAGCCAGTGTATGGCTTGTGGGACAGGCATCTGCAGAAGCCGGATGCACTTCACAGGCCATAGATGATCCTCGACGAAGACCAAGGTAAGAGGGCAAATTATTGCAAAATGGTTTTCCCTACTACAGGGAAACGGGACCAGGGTATTCCTCACATCATAACCACTATAGACAGGCTGTAGTCGTTATTATACTTAGAGTAACCATTTAAATGCACCCACTACTTCCCAAAACTGTACGAAGGGCATTTAGCCAAGGGACAGTGCACTGAAATGACAATTTTCTGGTAACAGAACTACTTCTTGGGTGAACAGTCATCTCCACCCCTATATCAAAGTGACCCTTTGAAATGTTAGGCCAGACGAAGTAGAACTTTAGCCATTTTCTGGGTATAACTCCTGTCACAGGAATGGCTTTAATTATCCAATGCTAGTGATGCCATCCTGGGTACCAATACTTACTAACCTCCACCAGCCCCTCCAGTTCCACTTTTTACCTACTGCTTGGTTCAGTCCTTTCCTCCTCTCAGCCTGTGCCCATGTACCCACCCATTGTCCTGTATCCCATCCCTGAGCTCTGCCCAGGCCACAGCGTTATCAACCTTCTCCGGCACGGTGAGGAGATTCCCGGTGGCAGAATCCAATATCACCGACACCTGAGACCTCTCCTCGGCCTCCCCACCAAGGGGACCCAAGCACAAGACCAAAAGAAGCCATGACACCAGTCACATGATCCATCCGGCACATCACGTGGCAGCCAGAGCTCAACTAAGCCCAGAAATTAAAAGGCTGGCGGGGCCGGACTATAGACTATGTTATCTATTAAATCAAACCATCCATGTGAGTTATTTTCCTGGTAAAGGCCCTGTGTTATAAGGGGAGTGTTTTTGCAATATTATGAAAAGCGTTATGAAAATATTCTTTTCATGGAAATGTAACACCAGATTTATCTGGGAATTAGTTGAACCTGGTGTCCTGATCTGTCTGGGAAGATCTAAGAAAGACACATTGTGACTGCTGCTGGCCCTTTAAGTAGAGCCCTTCCCTGTCCATTTAAACCTAACGAGGGGGGTGGCATGCGGTTGCCTGCATGTGTCAGCTGATCTGGGAGGGCGTTTACTTGGAATACGTCAACAACGTCCATTTACCAACTAAATAGCACTGTTAGAGGAAGTTGGTCCCTGCAAGCCCATTTTAGCCTTACTTGTCGTGTGAATGAAAACCACAAGGTATGATTTAAAACCATATATGACCTATGTTGCAATAGATTTTAGTTATTTTGTGTTTGTTTACATGTGTTCCATATTTGGAATCCCTCTCTTGTCCCCTAGCAGCACACGTGGTTATGTGTTATATTGCCTTTATCCGGTAAGAAATGCATTCCCATACTCAAAGATGGGTTTTGCGCCTAGAACTAAAATTATTCTTAACCATTCTACTGCATGAGAATCATGGGAGATGTAGTTCAAGGATAGCAGGAGAGTTGCCCTGTTCTACCTTGGGGGAAAAAATAATATATAGGTCTGGGTAACATTTTGTACCCTGGCAGTCCTGGTGTCCCTGTAAGAGATCAGTCCAATGTAATTGTGTTCTGTGTGAGTTACAGAGCCAGGAATGTAAATGTGGTAACAAAATCTGTGTCAACTAACTTTTTTATTATTCGTAACAGAAAATATTGTCCATCTGAAAAATGATGGCCAGCTAGAAAAAATATTTAATTATTTAAAATGAATGTGAATGGAAAAAATACCCTTCCCATAGATAATGCAGTTTTCCCATTATGTAAGGAGGAAAGGGGTAAAAACTTACCTTTTTCCAGCGCTGGGCGGGGAGCTCTCCTCCTCCGATCCTCCCCGTCGGCTGAATGCGCACGCGCGGCAAGAGTTGCGCGCGCATTCAGCCGGTCGCATTGGAAAGCATTATCAATGCTTTCCTATGGACGCTGGCGTGCTCTCACTGGGAAAATCACAGTGTCAATGAGACAGCCACTAGATGAAATAGGGGAAGGCTTAACCCACTCTCTGAAACTATGTTTATAAAAGAATGGGTTAACCCTAGCTGGACCTGGCACCCAGACCACTTCATTAAGCTGAAGTGGTCTGGGTGCCTAGAGTGGTCTTTTAATACTGAATTCTATTGCTTCAAATGTTACAAATTTAAGCGCAACCTATTCCCTTTTTTATGTATTTTTTTTTTTAATTGTATTTGTATTTACAATTTTCTTTGTATTGTCTGTGATTGAGCCCCATCAATTTAAGGTGTGCTGCCTTATTCACTATATTTTAGTTCTATGTGTTGCTCTCAGTGCTGATTCCCCATCCCCACCTTTGGATTGGTGGGGATATATCCCGATCCATGCTGGGCACACTAACTACGCTGCACTGGTCAACTTTATCTTTGCCATTCCTTAGACCACGTTGTGAATCAAAGATGGCTGCCATGCAGTGGCCTCCACTGAATCAAACAGGCTTCGAGAGCCTGGATTGGGTGCAGCGCTTGGAGGACAGATTTGACAAGCTGTGCTAGTATTTCTGGACTCGTATAGCCTGCCGCTCCTACACTCCTATCTCGCCAGTCCGAATTCCCCCGACGCACAAAGAGGTATTACTATTACTGCAGCTTCGCTCTAGCCTAACCTACTATGGGACAAAGTCAAGCCGGGACTCGCTGGATGAGACCCTGACGCAGTGCTCATGTTGGTGAAGTGGACACGGGTGCATTCGAACACAGCTTTCACATTGCGGCCATACTGTGAGCCACTACATTCCTGAGCCACAGTTCACCATGGGATATCCCCATACACACCGCTCATACCCCCGGATGGCCCTTACTCAACACGTTATAAAGAAGTCTGGCAATGGGCCCGAGATCAAGTCCTGTTTGCAGCTTGACAAGGGGCTTGTGAGATTGGTACATTGGACTGTATTTTGCCTGGTGGGATACAGTTAGATGGGATCCCTGTAATCGCTCTCACTGGGTCATCGTACATTATCCGAAGGGCATATGCTGAGCTTGGTGCTTTAAAAAAGCAGCTTATTATAGGCAGAGATGTGGACTATCTGCTCTTTCACGGTTTATTCTCATGCCCAGTGGTATCTACTAATAAGCAACTTGTCAGTTGTTACAGCCAGATTTGTTTTTTTTTTTTTTTGTGTCTTCTTCATACTGACATTCTTTCTCATCTGCCAGTACAGCATCAATACTTACCTATTCATCACCTTATCGAGACAACTTTTTCTTTAGTATATTCGCTCTGACTCTGTTCACAGACTTGACATGCCTGCCTAGTTCGATTCATTTGCTTAGTCTCTCTTGACAGTACCTGTTGTGTTTGCATGTCTCCAATTACTGTTTACATGTAAATATCAACTCATTTATTTATTTTTACTGCACTTCAAAAATATGCAGCGTCTACGACCGAGTCCTAATCTTCAGCAGGGGGACTTCTTGAGTTGGGCATACAAGTTCGACTGCATTTTATATCACGCTTTTAGTTTTCTAGGATTTTTTTTTTAAACCTAATGGTAATTATGAAAGGATTACACCAGGGGTGGGCAATCGGCGGCCCTCCAGATGTTTTTGTACTAAATCTCCCATAATGCTCTTAGGGCCATAATGCTAGCAAAGCATCAAGGGAGATGTAGTCCAAAACATCTGGAGGGCTGCAGATTATCCACCCCTGGATTACACCAATCTTTATAGTGTATTTAACTTGGTAATTTGGTTATACATTGCATATACAATTGTGCATGGTGTATGTATTGCTGCCGTAATTTTTTCCCCATTTTCCATCTTTAGCACATACTCTAGATTTGCCTTGATTTTCCAGCATTTAGCAAGACACACACGTTACTTGAAAAGGCATGCGCTGGTTTCATGTCTTTTCAAGTAATAACTAAGCTTTGTAAAACCATCCTTTCAGAGAGTTAATTGAGATGGTTTAAAATGATACTCCACTTTCCCATTAAAAAAAATCACTGTTTAGTAGATATACCTGCAATTTACTGGGGTTATATACAAAACTTGCATTTCTCTTGTCTGAAGCCTTTGCAAGCCCTACTCTTCTAACCCCGCCCAGACTTTCTGTGGCTGTCCAATCACAGACTTCTCAGTGCAGCTCAATGAGAAGCCTTTGCAAGGCAGGTGCGCTGGGCAATAGCTGCCTCTTGAGTTTACGTCCCCTGAGCTAACCAACCCAGGATGTGATAGGGCCTATTGTCTGCTTGAATTCCAAGAGGAGTGTAACCAGGTTAATTTTATAAAAATGTCTATTGAAATTGCACCTTTTTGTAAAATGCAGAAAGAGGACATACTCTTCACATCCTGAAGTACTACAACAGGCTAAAGTGCTATGAATGTAAGTAGGTGCAGTAAAAAAAAAAAAAACTGTCTCCTTTCCAAGGTGAATGAGAGCATTTGTGGAGGTTAGAAAAAAAACACCTAACCTTTACTTTAGTGATTCTCTCTGATATATTTGCGTGATGTAATGTGCGTAGTGTTATCAAACTTTTCCATCCAATCTACAGAATCTTTCAAGTATGCCCCCCACCTCCTGGATAAGACCAAGGAAGGTGGTATGAGCCACAGTAATGGAATGGGAGTGTAGCAGAGATATCAGTGCTATATGTTTTGTGAGGTAATTTGCAGATGATTTTAATGAAGTAGTTACATCTGCCAGGTAAACCTTCACGGGCTTTCCTCTAATAAGTAAATGCCACACATCAGTGATGCCTACCCCCACTTACCATGTGGACCATCCCTATTTGGGTCAATGCCCTGCCATCCTGAGTTATGCTTCTTGGATGATGAACTGTACAGTATAATAAAGGGGTTCTATTGTGTAAATATTACAAAGTTGTAATAAGTGTCTCTAGAGGCAGTATTGCTAACTCTCAAACTGCAGTGATTTACAGTGCAGTACTTAGGGGGTTACACTGCACCCAGACCACTTCAATGAGCTGAAGTGGTTAGGGTGCCTATTGTGTGCGCCTTTATACATCCCAAGCATGGATTATTTACCCATGCAAAACCACGCTCACACACCATGGCTGACCAAATTGCAACTTCTTACAACTCTCACACTTTGTATCTAGCGTTTGGCCCTGCTAGCATCATTATGATATGGGCACAAGTGGGTTATCACCAGTTCATTATCATTATATTTTATTTTATTTTTTTGACCATCTTTATTTTTCATTTTACGTGGTACATGTAAATTGAGGAGCGCAAATACAAGATAACATTCTCGATAGGCATTAGTATTTCTCTGATACCTGTAGGTAGACAATAGGAGGTAAACCATTTGGAGCTATGAAGATAAAGGAGAGTTGGGGCGGTTGAATCGACAGCTGCGTTAAGTGCGTAGGAATATTGGTGGAAGATAAGTAGAAGCCGAGCGTTTTGTTGGCGTCTCAAAGACATATGGGTTTTTTTTTTTTTTTTTTTAAAGACCGTGTATACATTCAGTTTTTAGCGCAGGAGTTGTCCACCTAGGTGTGTGTGTGTGTAACTGTACCAGGCAGTTAGTAATTTGAAGCTCGCCTCCTGGAATTTTGAGCTAATGGAGCTTTTGTGTGCGAGTATGAATATTTTGTCCCAGTCCTGTTCCGTCAAGGTATCCTCTTTCTAGTCACCTCTATTGACTAATAAAGGCATGTACATCTTGGGATACATTTAACATAGTTTAAAAAAAAAAAAAAAAAATATGTATGTGTGTATGTATATGTATGTATATGTATGTGTGTGTGTGTGTGTGTGTGTATGTATGTATATATATATATATATATATATATATATATAAATATATATATATATATATTATTTATTTATATTTTGATTGCATTGTGCGTTTCTCAGAGTGACTTTGAAGGTCTCCCAATTTCATTGCCCATCAGTCTTAAAAATGCAGCCTTTAAATACAAATGTATATACAAATTTACAATAATAGATTTAGTTTCCAAATAATGAGGCCTCTCTGCACACTGCATCTAGTTTGCGTTAGTAGATGGGGAACATACCAAAGCATTCTGCCATTACATTGTATTTCCTAAAAGCAGCTCTAGAAAGAGGAAATTACATAGCAGGAGTACACCTTTAATACCTGCTAAGTATTATTGTAGTAGCAGTGTTTTATTTGATGGTCCATCTTTTGGCCACCCCTATTTAACTGCATAACATTTCCTCTGGACGAACTGCATGTATGGGGATAAATGCCATGCAACTTTCTTGTTTTGTATGTACTCCCAAATAGTGGTGGTGTTTTATTTATTTTTTGTCAGACAGCCTCTGCTATTAACTTATCTAGTTTTTGATGGGATGGAGGAGTATTCAGTGACATTCAAATATGAACAAAATTGCTATTTAAAGGAATAGAGAGTCATCTTTAAAAATAATCCATTAGCTCATCACACAAACAAGACTTCCAATATTTTCCATGATGTCGATTGTTGTGTGTTTTTTTTTAATGGTTTTTATTTAATTCCAAAACACAAACTTCTCCACCACAGTGTGTGTGTTTTATTTTTATATATTATATTTTTTTTATTATTAAAATATATATTATTATTATTATTTTTTTTTTTTTTTGTGAGGAAGTGGTGAGACCTATAGCCTTATATCGCCCACATAGCTTTGCACCGAGTTCTCATTCTAGCGGATAAGTGCATGAATGTGATCTAGATTCAATTCTTCATTCCCTCCTCCCTTTTTTTCCCCACACCATGCCAGTTTTGCCGCGACAACCCCTCCCATAGTGATGCTTTGCCTGGCAAGCCCACAGGTGTGACTCGGGAATACAAGGAGGGGTCATAATCATCTGCAATGAGAACAGTGTAATCAGAGGACAGAGAAAATAGATTTTTGTATATCTAATATTTTTAGAGTGTGTGTGTTTTTTTTTTTTTCCCAGGACCACTGATTAGTATTCCTGCAGGGTGTGCAAAGTCTTAACAGAATAGAAAACTCAAGCATGTGCTCTTTTTATGTAATGTGCCCATGTGAACACTATATAACCTCTAAAATTCCTATCGTGGGCTGTGTAAAATGGCATAATATTATACAGGTCACCTCAGTATTGGCATGTGGGCTGCTGGATGTATGACTTTAAAATTGTAGAATATGGTTTCCTAGGAATCCTCTATTTTAAGCCATTCATGCTTCACAATTCTAAAGTAAAATACATATTTTGTTTGTTTCCAGTTGAGTGTACTCATTGCAAAATTAAAAGCTGCATATTCTGTGCAGAGTTAGAGGAAAAGTGAGCACCTAACTGAAAATGTCAGACTGATATTTTCATACCAGTTCGAATACTGCAATCTGAAAATGGTATTCCATTAGAAAATGGTGGATAGCTCGTGTGCACAAAGCTGCTGCACCATCCGATATAAAAACAAAACAAACAAACCATAAACTAGAACTTCTGTTCATTAAAATATATTCACACACTAGGGAGGGTTGGGAATGCCAGAGCTACAGAGGTACTACAGAGCGGCACTAATGACCACAGCCCTACAAACACACACTGCCCAAAACCCACCACAATGGATAGAAATGGAATCAACCTGGTCCTGTCCCAAAGGTCTTAAATACCTCCTCTGGGTACCACACAGGCTACGCCCACCCCTCCCAGAAATACCAGCAACCACTGATATCCTATTGAAAACCTGGGATAAATCTAAGCCAAAACTTGGATACAACACCGATTGGGCGCTGGCCACTCCCATATACAGCATACATTTAGCATACCCTGCTTTTGACCACCGTACGTGGTTGGCAAAAGGATGTACCCTAGTTCGACACCTGTACGGGCAGGGACAACTGAGACACTTCCCAGACCTACAAGTAGAATACGACCTGCCACAAAGAATGATATTTTCATACTTGCAACTAAAGGGAATATTAACACACGACACCTCCCTAAACATACCGCAACATACACAAAGTGTAGATAGAGCATGTATATCGATGACCATGCCTAAGAAACCACTCTCGCTACTATATGCTCTGCTCAGTGACTCCAACCAACAACTACAGACAGACAATTTTAGAGACGCATGGCACAGAGACATAGGTACAATATTCACAGATGACCAATGGACCCTGGCTTTTACGGCCCATAAAGGCAGATCCAGATGCGCATCACACCTAGAGCTCATGCGCAAGATACAATATAGATGGTACCTGGTGCCAACGAGACTGGCGACCATTTACCCTAACTCCTCCAAATTATGTTGGAGATGCTTAGCAGGAGAGGGCACAATGTACCACATTTGGTGGACCTGCCCAAGGCTTAAGGAATACTGGAACATGGTGGAGGCAACAGTTAAGGGAGCGTTGAGAGTCGATACTAAGCTAAGACCAGAATGTGCCTTACTATTTATAACACTGGACTCCCATCCAAAACCACAAGCGAGCTTATTATTTCACATCTTAACAGCAGCAAACCTCTTGTTAGCCAGGAGGTGGAAACAGACACAGACACCCACTAGGTCTGACCTGATAGAACAGACGTCACTCAACCTGACCTACGAAATAGGGACTAGTCAACAGTTCCACCCAGCAAAACATATCATACAAGCCAAAGATGAGTGGGAAACCTACATATCACAGACTGGGGAGGGGATATAGATAGAAAAAAAAAAAAAAGAGGCTGGACTTAGAGACACCAGACGGAGAGTGCAAGACGAACAGGGCGACCACTAGAATAGAGGTCTAGAGCAGGAGGCCCCCACAAAAGACCAAGATATCTGGGAACTGCCCAAACAATACACCAGCGCGAAGACGTCGCGGAATATGAACCCACAATGTACATAGTTCGAGGGGTAAAGACCCAAGCACCACGCTGCAAATAACAAATGAAGCATGACAATGAAACAAGAGCAGTACGGGCATGGTGCCGGGTCCACACACCCTCCTCACCCCCCCTCCATACCCACCTCTCCTAATCCCCCCCCAAACTGAGGCGACAACTACTAGCCAAAGGGTATGCAAGATAGGAGAGAATACCACAGGTCGAATGGATGGACCCCGACCCACCCCACTAGTAACAAAACTCCACCATATAAGACCAAGTTCGTTAGGACTGTCTAACATGTATAAATATGAAGATGACTAATGCATACTAACCGCTTACCCTCCCCTTCTTCTTTTCTGTACCCCCCACTATATTATACGCATTAACAATACAAACATGAGAAGAAGAAGAAAAAAAAAAAAAAAAACGTAATGGAGTGGGTCCTCCACCACTAGACAGGAATGCTCCTAGACAAAGACCACTAAGCGACCAACTGTATAAGACGTACATCAGAAAAACACATAAATATGCCTAGTATGTCAAATGAATAATTAATACTACAACACCTCCTCTGTATCATTTATTGTGCATGTATTAATGTTTACCCCATCCCACTTTTCCTTCTGTACCCCAACATCCTATGAAAAACAAATAAAAATTGTCAAATTGAAAAAAAAAAAATATATTCACACACTTAAATTAGAAAAGCAAAACAAATTAATAAATAGAACATTCCCTAAATCCATACCATGTTAGTATCTGTAAAACATCTCTCGTAGTCAAACTGTTAAGTGGGGAGTGCTTTTGGTCATTTAGAACAGAGGTGGCCAAAAGGTAGACCCTCAGCTGTTGTCGAACCATAACCCATGATGCTTTTCCAATCTTAAGTCTGTCAAAGCTTCATGGCAGATGTAGTTCTGTAACAATTGCAATCTACCCTTTTCCTTGTCTTCTGAATATTTTGATCCGATTCTATTCATTCCAAAGCTAATACTCCTAATCCAACCTTGCTCACACATTAAATAAAGTCCACGGCCAGGCTAGCTCATCTATTGTTTAATAAGTTTAGAATAGCTGAAGGTAGCCCTCCGAAAAAAAAACTCTGGCTTTTGCAGTTTGTTTGCCAAAACTTGGTAAGTAAAATAAATAAATAAAGACTCTGTATGACCTACAACTGTGGCTTTCAGCAGCAATCCGTTTTACAAGTGGTTAAAATAATACAGCATTTAAAAAGTATTACTTTTTTTTTTACCTTTGTCATGTTTGGGGTGTGTGATGCTATTTGTTTAATGTATGTTTGTTTCCTGCTGCTGTAATTTTCACTTCCTTGTCTTGTAGGACGGGTAACACTGCAAGTATAAAAGCTAAACGAAGACCCTACACTATGGAGAGAGTTTTTTTTTAAGAACAGAAGGTTCATGTCTGGAAAGGTTTAGAGAGGAATAAGATCCAAGAGAAACATTGAAGTGCCATTGGATAGAATGGAAGCTATGTTTAGGTAGCAACTTCAGCTGTGACTAATTGTTTTTACACTGGTGGTGCAAGAGACGTTACATTCTGCAATGGACTTTACACAATGGCTCAATACTACTATGTCTGGCAGTCAAAGAGACATAAATTCGTATGTTTTCTTGCCACGAAATGGGTCTTGGGGAGTAGAGGATGTTGATGTGAGTATGAACCTTGATCTGTTTATCGGGTATTATTCTGTTCCAATTTGCTGTGCATTGGGGAAATGACTGTAGGATTTATTACACTATCTGTTACAGTAGGTGAAACATAAGTAGGATGCTGTGCTCATAGCACTGCTTTTGCCACAAGAAAGTGTTTGTTTGAAATATTTTTCAAAATATGTGAGTCCTATATTTATTCTTCCTTTTCACAGGTTTAATACCTTTTCTTACCTGCCCAACCTGTACAATCAGGTTTGACATCGCTTTTCCAGTTTATAAAATATAGCGGGTTGGTTTGTTGTTGTTGTGACTTATTTTTATTTTTTTTTCCATTACTTCCCGATTGACATTACCTCTTCTGAAGTCCGGTGCCCAGCTTGTCAGAACCAAATTAAGTTAGACAGTGATAACCATCCTCCTTCCCCTCTAAGGCAGTGGTGCCCAAAAGGTAGATCCTTGGATGTTTTAGAACTACAACTCCCATGATGCTTTAAGACATCTGGGGAGCTACCTTTTTTGGAACCCCTGCTCCAAGGTATTCAACTAGAGGTGCTGTAGGTCATTAGGCTGGTTCTTAAACCAAACTCAAACCTAAAACTCAGTTTAACTGTTGGCCACTGTTCTCTCACATGGGGACTGCTGATCCTTTTTTTTTTTTTCTCTGATGCTCACAGACACAGATGCACACCCACAGATTTACACTGACCGATGCAAACAGTCTGTCCCATGCACACAGACCCTTCTGGAAATATGTCCAGCGGCATCCTGAGTGGGAGTTTTGTTCTGACCATAGCCTCCTTTTGAGGATTCAGCAGCGAGAGTGCACATGGGTAGAAGGATTCTTGCATTCTCTGCTATATTAATGACTAAGCACCACACTGCTCCATTGCCAATCTGGACGGGTACCAGCCACCTAGCAATTGTTACTTTATTTAGTGGAGCCTGTGGGTTGGTAGTTTGAGATCCCTGCTTTAAAGTGTTTCTTTCACGATATACATGTTAGAAGTGTGTATCATGACATGAAGAGCATTAACTTTAATTTTACATTGTGATCGCAAGATAGTAGGTATATAGAATTTTTTTAATTTAAACCCCTTTTAAAATGTGGTCATCTTTCCCCACCTGTCCATCTCTGAGCATAGACCTGTCTATCCCAGGAACATACAGGTTTATAGTGCGGGATAAATGGCAAGGGAGAGCAGGAGAATAATCCCACTAGTGGGTTTTCCTGTTCTGTTAGATATTCCACCAGCAAGCATTTCTCACACATTCTTGGTAAATATAGGACTTAAGTGACTGATAACACTTCGTTCTGATGCCAACATGTCTAGATCCACAGGGAGGATTTCCTTGCTTGGGGAGGTGTCCACCAACTCCTTTTTTGTGCAGAAGAGCAAGGAGGACTGTAGGGTAACCCACACTAACCATTAGTGTAACTGTCCATGACCCCTCCAAAAAGAGGGGCAGCAGTCAAGTAACTGTATACTCTCTCCCAAAGCAATAATGCTTCTCCTTTATTTTAAGGGTAAATTATATATTTGTTGCATTGGGAGTTATACACTTAATTGAACCTAGCATGACCGCTTCACTTTAAGCATATCTAGAGAAGAATTGCTGTACTCAGTCTACAAAGCCAAGTGTCATTTTACTTGTGCTTCAGTATGATTTACTCTGCTTTATGATATTTATACAGGTACCATATTTACTGCATGTTGCATTATTGCTGCATACGGTCGCCTTTTTGTGAAGCTATTTTTAAAGCACACATAAAGGGGCCACCAGGGAGGTCTGATTGCCCTGACAGGTTCATTCCATTTCAGCTGTTTAGTTGCTTTTACTAAAGTGAATTTCAAACTTAGGGGCAAAACTGCTGAAATTAGGGGAAAGGAAAAATTCTATGTCCGCTGTGCTTTCAGTTCTTCTATGTGGCCCTTTAATTTATCACTTAGGTAAATGACCCTGTATGTGTATATTTGGAGTCTTAATATATCAGACTTTAATTCATTCCAAAGACACAATAATAACACAAGACTCAAAGGGGGATAGAATGGTTTTGCTAAATAATTTAATTAAATCCATCAGAACATTCCAACACAGGAAATATGACAACATAGGGACATTCAGGATTACTTGGTATCCTCATTTCACAAATTATTTGTACAAAACCGGAGTTTGGTGATTTTTAAAGGAACTAATTATTTATTTCTTTTTTTTAAATATGATTTTGTGATGGTATATATGCTTTATGTCCTTCTTAATCTTCTTTTCTTTATTTCCCTCTTTTGGTGCAGTGTCAGGAGGTGGGGAAGCTGAATGTGTCACTACGTTGCTCCTTTGTCAGAACAACCTCAGATTGCAATGATACTGATGGATACTTTAGTTACCTGGAAGGGGCATTTTGCACATTTTCCCCTCAGCTGTTCCCTCTGGCTATCTTTTTATATGTAAGTGCCTATAGAAAAACAAGTTGCAGAGAGTTGTCTGGAAGGCTATGATTATTACTGGCTGGGTGGACTAGTTCTTACTGTGTTGATAGGTTTAGTGTCGGCTGCCTGCATACATGCTTGGTGGGTCAATTATTGTGGGCAGGAGGAGACCATTGATAGAAAAAGGGTACAAGAACTGCATATGTGGCATGGTAACTGAGCCAATACCTCCCATTTGGGTTCTATAATGCAGACAACCCAACTTGCAAAAATGCATTTCAAGGAGGTGGCTACACACAGTCTGCAAACGTGTGAACACCTTGACACGCAGATGCACGCCCTGGCACATACACCCAGATGGACACACTGACACATGCACGTACACTCAGATGCACACATTGACACAGTGACACAAACTAAACTCCTGTTAGCTTACCTTTGTGTCCTGGAGACTGGCTTGCTCTGGTCCTGGCTGAGTCTGATGGGAGTGAGCATATAGTAGCAGCTCCTTACAGCCTCTTTTCTGCCTCCATGCTTCCTCCTATCTCCAGTCCTCCTGGGCAGTGCTCTGTGAAGCAGGGAGGAAGTAACAGGCTGTCATCACTTCCTCCCTGACAGCTGATACTATGGTCAGCCCTTAAAGGGCCGGAACCCCACCCTGCTTAGTGAGTATGAGGAAAGGGGGGCACAAATTCTGTATAATATCTGGTAATCAATACAGAGAATCTGATGTGTATTGTGTGTGTGATTTCCGGGATATTATAAATTATTTGCGGGTGTCAGGGAGCCGCATGTTGGGAGACTTGGGATGTCTGATAATAGATGTACAGTAAACTAACCAACATGTGAGTTGTGAAACCTTCCTGGATAGGAATGGCTAATCTTATGTTGTCAGCTGCCTTCAGACATGGAATTGTAAATGTGCTGTGTCTCACCTCTTACTGTTTCTCCATAGGCCATGTGGCTCATCTACCTCTTTATCATCCTTGCTGTTACTGCAGAAAAGTTGTGAGTAAAACTTGATTATTTTGACTAGAATTTGCATGGTTTAAACTCACTTCACATCTTGGAAGGACAGTGACCTACTATTTAGCTTTTATTTTGTGAATTTTATTTTTCAGCTTTTGTCCTAACCTATCTGCCATCGCGTCAAGCCTCAGGCTTTCCCATAATGTAGCAGTATCCTTTTTCAATCTCCTGTTTTCTTTTCCTAGAAAAATATATATAGAATAAATGCAATTATGGTAGCTAGAGGATGCTGGAGATCACCGTATTGCATTGTTAGTGGAAGGAAGAGGCATATTTAGGAGAGGGGGTGCACTTTTGGCAGTAATGCATTTTCCTTGACATTTGGTCTGCATGGTGTAACTTTCCTTGCATTTGGAAATGGTGCTCCCGATGTTTTCAGTGCTGTGGCTGCATTTTCTGACTCCAGGACAGCAGGATTGGCTATTGGAGCACTCTTTGGTATGTATTCCAGGAAACTCTAGTCTGTATTCTATAGATCAACACGGGTTGCAGAAAACTTTAAAATCCTGGAACTGAGCATGGGGGATACATGGAATATTGGTAACTGGTACACTTGTAACTATGTATTAACATTTTAATAGTCATACATTTGCAACAGTAAATTCATAAAACAAATTAATCTCACTGTATTTCTGACCAGCCCATCTAAAAGAACACAAATTTCAATTTAATCTGCAAATCATTCCTGACTTGGGGGAGATTCATTCACAAAATATCTCTAAATTAAAAATCTATATTGTGCAAAAGTCGAGGTCAATGCACTCAACGTTCTAAATCACGACAGCCTTTATTAGTCACCTTGAGAAAGGTCACAGTAAGTGGCCAAAATATTTCCATTTCCGTGTTGCTTAGTTTTTTTGACTCTGTCAAAAAACATTGTTTTGTATATTTTTATTTTTATTTTTTTTTAGTCTGATGTATTGTAGTGAACCTGATTAATGGAGTACATTCCCTAACACTCAATACGAAGATAAAAATATAGGCTTGATGACATGCATAAGCTGTTTGAGTTCACTTTGTATTAGTAAAAATACACTGGAGCACCTACAAATAAATGTAAAGTGTGTGGGATTTTCTCCTCCTTCTTCCCTCACATCCAAGTTCTGCTCCAGTGTGCATAAAATCTAAAATGTGGATGAGGTTTGATTATATGTTACTTGTGCCAGGTGCTGGTGTGTTTGTCACAACGGTGGTGGCAGGAGGCATTGCTTTCGTGAAGCCATTCACAGCTGCTTCTCGTCCGTTCCTGCGAGATATTGTTTTTTACATGTCTGCTATCTTCCTCACCTTCTTCGTGTTGTACCAAGGTTCTATAAGCCTCGCTGAGGTGCTGGGTAAGTGGATGGCACTAATTTCTCGATTTAATTCTCCTAATCTATTCCCACCAGAGTTGTTTTCTTTGTGATTAACATGCCATCTGTTCTTTTGCCTTTATTGCAGTGTACCTGTTGATGTACATGGCTTATGTCCTAGTGGTTGTCCTCTCCTCTTGGATCTATCGGAGGATGCGGCAGAGTACATTTTCTGCTCCCAATTCAGAGGAGGCAGGTGGGTATTTTCTCCCCCCCCCTTTTTTTTTTTTTTTTTTTTTTTTTTTAAATTTCTTTATGTGGAAATAGTGACACTTCTGTAGCTTGTTTAGGTCTTTTCAATACATTTATCATTTTAACGATCTATAGTTTTATATACGCCATTAACTAATTCTCTACTTTTTGTATACCCCATTATAAAGCACTCTAACTATACATTATAAAGCTCCAATACAACCTAATAATTGGGAATAAAAAGAGGGAATGCCATTACATTTAACGTGCAACTGATGTTCAACAGGTATTCATGTTCCCATGTAAATAATACTCAATCTCTCTCTTTTAATGCATGTTGATTCCCTCTCTTATTAATTGTTTTGGACATATGTTGACTGCAGCATGGGAAAAAATGTTTTAGTATATTATATAGTGTGTGTGTGTGTAATTATATTATATTTCTCATGCAACACTTGTTGTTCTCCAAATACACCAAATACCACAGTGCTGTTCCCTAAAAAATACAGAATTCAGTAGCATAATTGGCAGCTTTGTTAGGTTGAATCGTCATGGGGTACAATAAAGTAGTAGAAACTGAAAACTGCTTTAAATAGTCCATGCATAGTATAGTGGGACACTGCTCTGTAAGCCTTTGCTTTAAAGGTATGCACTTTGCCTGGGTATGCAGAAAAATTGCAAACCAGTCAAAGGGTTGATGGACATTAAAATCCTTCTAATAGAATATTGTGTTTTGGGTAAAACGGCATACAGAGAATTCTTATCTGCATATGACACATAACCGCTAGTTGGGTTTTGCTGACAAACCGTAGCATTTCTACAAACACAGCAATGTTTGGGACTATTTAAGGTTTATCCAGACTGGTTATTTTTGGCCTGTGTTTTACAAGTTGCTAATCAACTTCTTAACAATGTGTTTAGTACAGTAATACAGTTTAATTAAACTCTTAATTTTGTGTGTAACCTATATAAATAAACATTTTACTTCTTCTTCTGTTAGACCTCTTGACTGAATCTGAAGAAGACCATTTGTCTACACCTCATGGCTCAGAGTATGGTATGAACCTGATTTTTACCTATAAAATTAAATAATTTGTGTATTGCCTTCTCTTTACTAAATTAATTGCCTGTGACCCACTTTTATAGTTTTCAACAACGTTTTGTTTATTGTACATGTTCAAAAACCATTTAATCCATGATAATGTACGATTTATTATTTTCCTATATTGGATTCCACAGATTAAAATAAAGTTCGTGAAATAAAATGACTAGTTATTGGAATAATTTATTTGCATAATATATGTTTCAGTTTACACTTTTTTTTTTTTTTCTTTTTTTCTATATCTTATAAGGTGATGAGTATCAGCCTCTAAGGCCCATCCAGTACAACACATGGCAGATTATTGTGGAAGCACTAAATCCTATGGATTCTAGAAAGTGGAGGTTGAAACGTTGGCCGTGGAGGCTCTTTAAATTAATAAAGGTGTGTAGAGATGTATATGACCATAGACAAAAAGAACATTAGAAGTATGATGATTTAATTTGAGTTTGGAAAGCTGTGATGTGACTGTTATCAAGATGTGTATATAAAAACCGAATTATCGAACTCTGTGTTTTTGAGTTGGCTAGATCAAAGCAGAAATGTATCCATATTGCTTGAAAAACAGGAGCTGTAGCTTTTAGAGATAGAAACATAGAATGCGACAGCAGATAAGAACCATTCGGCCCATCTAGTCTGCCCAATTTTCTAAATACTCTCGTTAGTCCCTAGCCTTATCTTATAGTTATTATAGCCTTATGCCTATCCCACGCATGCTTAAACTCCTTTACTGTTCTAACCTCTACCACTTCAGCTGGAAGGCTATTCCATGCATCCACTACCCTCTCAAATCAGACATGCTTGGTATTCATAAAAATGGTGAATAACATGATGTATTCATTGTAAACATGTGCTAGATGTCTATAGGCCATATATCTAGTATAGACTCTGACACCATGCTTGTGAAAACTATCAACATATCCTATGTTATTTTTAAAACAACTTGTGCAGGTTATCTGGCACGGTACATCGGTCTTTAATAATGTATGAGTAACCTGACATGATACACAACACTTTAAAAAAATGCCAGTTGTCTAGCACGACATATGTTATATTGGAAGAGGGCGAATTGCATTCCATGTTATGTATATCCACTGTCTACGTTTTCTCTCAACAAAATGTAAAACTGTGCTGTATATTAATTGGTCATGTTTTGATTGTTATGCCTGTTACCGCTTACAACGGCTATCGTGGCCGAATAAGCATATTGTTATCTCATGCACAACAGAAAATAAAGAATAAAAAAAGGTGAATAAAATAGTTCCCTGAAACAGGGAACATTTAATATGAGGTTGATAATAACAGAAACTGGGATCATACTTTTAAAAGGCAAGTATCTTGTTTGGTTATTATGACACGTGTGTGTGTGTGTATATGTCTTGTTAATAAGGAGATGTATCTTGATTATAGCTGACTACGCATATCTTAGTAACCTGTAAATTGGATGGACATTTTTATACAAACCTTGAAAGTCACATAATTAACACAGACACTTCTGATGTAAACACACTGAGCTTTTTAGCCCAATACCTCTGAATTACCACAAGCAGAAACATGAAATACGTACATTCTTTCATTTTCTTAACAAAATACAGAAGGAAATGACTGCAAAATAAATCAAATGCAACCACATGAGCAATATGACTCATAATAAAGATCAAGGGGGAAAAATGCAGTTGTTGTGCAAGATTTCACCAGTCGGCAAAATAAACAGATGTATTGTAAAAACAAGTATGCATTCTAAGGGGAACAACTGGCAAAACCTGTTTTTAAACAAGTTTATTACGTATACCCTCTAAACCAGGCTTTGCATTGTTCGAACGTTACCAAGAAATTATGTGGACTTCACCAAATACTAGAAAGTTATGTCTGCATAATTTGAAGCTCTTTTGTCATTTTCAGTTTTTCGTGAACTCCTTAAAAAGCCCCCAATTCAAAGAAACCTAGAACCCAATATTTTAATGAGATTATAAACCACAGATGAGGGTAGGGTTTTAAACTTCATAATTGCTTTCAGGATTGCTACAGAGATGGGGATACTTCCAGCTAAATAGGTTTACTCGTTATTAGTAATCATCTGTTTCACTTTTTGTGTTTTTCATTTCATAAGATGACATTCACCTTAGGTTTTTTTTTAATTTTTTTTTTTAGTTCTAGATAAGACCAGATAGGGGCTATTTTTTATTATAGGTATTGTGATCTTTGGCAATGGACCGCAAGCAGCCTTACATTTCAGTTGCTAAGCTAATTTACCCACAATCCATCAGTCAAAATATTTCCTAGCTCTGCAAACTGCAGACCTCATGGACAGAGAAGAACAACATGTCTGCGCCCGCATATTGAGATTCTGTATTAAAAAAATGTTAGTTTTTTTTATTTTTAATATGTATAAGGCAAGTGGGCAAGTGGCATAATCATTAAAGACCCCTAAACAATTGTGCATTTTGTGAAGATAAAATACTCAAACTGACTGTTGGAATTTCAGGTTTCCTAATTTCTACGTTTAACTTAAATTTTTAACACCATTCATACACCTATTTTTTTTTTTTTTTTAAATATAGGGACAAGTAAACCGAATACAAATTCTGGGATGTGGCCGTGACCCTTTAATGCCAACATACAATAAAAACAAAACACAAAGGGTTTTTCATTAAAGTGGGGATTGTAAAAAATAAGAAAAAAACCCAAGTAAACTTCAAATGCAATTTGGCAAAACTAACAGAATTGACTTGGAGAATTTTTCTACTTTGGCTTAAATTTGGAGTTCAATTTTTAATTCCCAGGAATTCTTTCATCATTTATTATAATTTGAATTATGGAGATTTGACAAAGGAATTCGTCGGTTTAGACCAAAATGTCCGTGAAGGATTAAAAATTTTTTTTTCCAATTTAGTTATAAGCTTCAGAGAACTCCTTTTTGGGTTTTTTTGGGGGTTTTTTGTTTTTTAAACTTTAAGTGTCAGTTTGTAAAGCAATTTTATCTAAAGCTGTGTAAAGTGTGCTTGCACTATAATGTATAATAAAGATTATGTGATCCATTTTGGCCTTTAGGTCCCCATAGAGTTTTTACTTCTCCTCACTGTTCCTGTGGTGGATCCAGACAAAGAAGATCACAATTGGCAGAGACCCCTGAACTGCCTACATCTCATCCTTAGCCCTCTGCTCTGTATATTCACCATCAAGTCTGGAACATGTGAGTGCCAATCCTGTAGAATTCTCACACTGATTACTTTTTCAATAACTGTCAAACAAAATTTTTTAATTTTTCTTTTTTTTTTTTTTTTCTCTGTTTTTTCAGATGCACTCTACTGTATTCAGAATGTGATGCCAATTTGGGCTATTTTTCTGATAGTAGGATTTTTGTTGGCCGCCATTGTTTTCTTCACAACCAAGAACGGAGAGCCTCCAAAATATCACTGTGTAAGATAACAAGTTAACGTTTTGGTTTGTCTCCGAATACATATTTACTAGAGATGTCGCAAACCGTCCGGGAACTTCTCGCAAACGGTTCGCGGCGAACTCTGGTCAGCTGACACATCCCGGCCAATCTCCAGCAGGCCCTCCCACCTCCTGGACAGCATCCATGTTGAAGCTGCCTTCAACATGGATGCTGTCCAGGAAGTAGGAGGGTCTGGGAGGGAGGGTCTGCTGGAGATTGGCCGGGATGTGTCAGCTGACCAGAGTTCGCGGCAAACGGTTCGTGGCGAATGGTTCGCGGACGATTCGCGACATCTCTAATATTTACTTTATGCAGGTATCATCAGTTATTTAAATATGACTATGTTTGCATGATACCCAATGCTGCAAAAATGTGTAATAGCCTTCTACTTTCTACAGGTTTTTTCTTACTTGGGCTTCGTGGTCAGTGCGCTTTGGATCAATGCTGCAGCAACAGAAGTTGTGAACCTGTTACACACATTTGGTGTGATCTTCCGTCTCAGTAACACTGTACTCGGATTAACCCTGCTTGCCTGGGGAAATAGTATAGGGGGTAAGTATAGTATGGTATTTTCATAGTCTGTTTGAAATGGAACCATGGCAAAGTTTGTCAGATATCTAAGTCTGTTATTGTCATACTGCCTAACTTCCAGTCCATGAAGCCATTAATTGTTGACATTCGCTTTAATAAATTAACCAAAACAATCCAGGATTAAGCAATCTTATTTCTAAATTGTATGGTATTTAGAAATAGTCCTAAAACTTAACTGCTCACCAGTGACTCTTGGTTGTGAAATCCTACTGAAGGTTTGTACCATAGTTCCACCTAGGATTGTAATGTGTGAATGTTGCAAGCCTTTCAGGGCTCTGCAGAGCACCGCATCAACACCACTGGAGAAAGATCAGTCTTCTACAAATCGCATGTGCTCATCCCTGGTACTGTCTTTCTCTCTTCATAGATTTTGTTTCTGACATCACACTGGCTCGGCAGGGGTACCCTCGTATGGCATTCTCAGCCTGCTTTGGTGGCATCATCTTCAGTATCCTTTTCTGTCATTGTTTGGTTCTAGGCTGGCATAGCATTATCAGAACTAGCTGATGTAATCATTCAATTTATGAAATATTCCAAGTCTTTCTTTCTGTTTGTTTGGAAATGAGTACAGGCAGTTTGACTCTTAAAAGCTTTACATTTAGTCAACCGGTGTAAGTCTTGATGATCCTTAATTCATTGACCAAAAACAACTGTCAAAGCTGCCTTTTTAGTACGCACACTTACAGACACGAACTAGTCTTATGTGTCCAATTTTCTAGAGGGAAGCGTCACTTTTCTGGAATGACTATATTAAATAAAACCTTGAAATACATTAAAGGACCACTATAGTGCCAGGAAAACATACTCGTTTTCCTGGCACTATAGTGCCCTGAGGGTGCCCCCACCCTCAGGGACCCCCTCCCGCCCGGCTCTGGAAGGGGAAAGGGGTAAAAACTTACCTTTTTCCAGCGCTGGGCGGAGAGCTCTCCTCCTCCTCTCCGCCTCCGTTACGCCCCGCCGGCTGAATGCGCACGCGCGGCAAGAGCTGCGCGCGCATTCAGCCGGTCTCATAGGAAAGCATTTACAATGCTTTCCTATGGACGCTGGCGTGCTCTCACTGTGATTTTCACAGTGAGAAGCACGCAAGCGCCTCTAGTGGCTGCCAATGAGACAGCCACTAGAGGATTAGGGGGAAGGCTTAACCCATTCATAATTATAGCAGTTTCTCTGAAACTGTTATAATTATGAAAAAATGGGTTAACCCTAGAAGGACCTGGCACCCAGACCACTTCATTAAGCTGAAGTGGTCTGGGTGCCTAGAGTGGTCCTTTAACTGTGT